TGCCTTCCTGGGCCACAGCAGAGAGCTGGACTGGAAGAGGAGCAAGCGGGACAGAATCCAGTGCCCCAACCGGGACTAGAACCTGGGGTGCCGGTGCCGCAGGCAGAGGATTAGCCTAGTGAGCCGCAGTGCCAGCTTCAATGTCTTCTTCATTTAAAAAGGGGGGGGGGGATTGATTTATTTTATTTGAAAGGGCAGAGTTACAGAAAGAGGGAAAGACAGAGAAAGGTAGAGAAAGATCATTCACCCACTGGTTCACTCCTCAAATGGCCACAACAGTTGGAGATGGCCAGGCTGGAGCCAGGAGCTGCATCTGAATCTCCCACATGAGTTCAGGGATCAAAGTACCCGGGCCATCTTCCGAGGCCTTCCAAGCACATCAGCAGGGAGCTGAATGGGAAGTGGAGCAGCTGGGACTGGACCTCTGCTTTCACTCCAGCTTCCTGCTGATGGCTCAAGCACTTGGGTCAGATCACTGCCTCCCACATGGGAGACCCAGCTAGAGTTACGAACTCATGGCTCCAGCCCAGACCACTTCTGTTGGGGAGTGAATTATCAGATGGAAGATTTCTCTCTCTTTGTCATTCTGCCTCTCAAATAAATAAATAAAACATTTTTAAAATAAAAGTTTATTTTGGTGCGAAACATTTTTGAAATCCATGCATAGCTTTTTCATAATATGCATTTTCTGTGAGCACTTTGAAGAACTTTTAATTATTTATTTGTAAGACAGAGTTACAGAGAGAGAGAAAGACAGACAAACAGAGAGACAGAGAGAGATAGAACCATCCACTGGTTCACTCCCCGAATGGCTACAATGGCTGGAGCTAGGTAAATTTGAAGCCAGGAGCCAGGAGCTTCATCAAGGTCTCTCCTACATGGGTGCAGGGGCCCAAGCACTTGGACCATCTTCCACTGCTTTCCCAGGTACATTAGCAGGGAGCTGGATCAGAAGTGGAGCAGCTGGGACTCGAACTGGCACCCATATAGAATGGTGGCGCTGCAGATGGCAGCTTTACCCACTGCACTACAGCCCCAGCCCCTGAAACTTTCTTCCACAGAAGGGGAATAGATGCAGAGCAGGCAGAAACATAAGATCCCTGGAGTTACCACTCAGGGGATTATGAAGAATTTCTACCTCCTCTGCATCAGTTTCTTAGTCACCATGTACTAACAAGCAAAAAAAAAAAAAGATTTCTATTTTGGAAAGAAAAAAAAAAATCCTGCTTAGCCAATGGGAAAGGAGAGGAGCCCGACTCTGGTGATCTCACTCTCTCCCAGCCACAAAGGAGACTGTGAGTTATCTAGGACCCAGGGGAATTCCAGCTGTCACCAGGCTGCACTAGCCAAGGTGGAGAAAGCCCAGGGAATCAGGAAGGCATTATCCATCATAAAGTTGCAGCTCTGGACCAAGGAGGCGAGGAATGCTAGCGCTGTGGTAAAGCAAGTCCAGGTGGCCCCTGCATGCAGAACTCTGCCCTCACTGGAACTCTGCGGGCTTGAATTTTTAATTCCCTTCATGTCCCCTTTTGTGCTTTCCTGCATAGCCACACTGCCCTTTTCCCACATAGCTTCCCCTGCCCTTCTTGTTCCACAGGGCCTTTTCCTTCAACATAGAACAGGTGTTTGAGAAGGCTCCAAGCCTGAGAACTTAAACCACATACCTCTGGGTCAGCCGGCAGCTGTGTAACAGTGGAAACCCCAGCTCCCTTGTGGACATTACCTCTTTCCCAGGAGTCTAGGTCAGCCAGTGGTGAGTACGGGCAGTGGAGTCGTTCCAAGGTCTGTTGCTAATGACCTGTACCTCTGCGGAAGCCCTATGAGCCTCTAAACTCTGCCATGACATAAACTCATCCACTGTGCACTGGTACAGCTGAACAGGTTGTTAAAGCAACAAAAGCCTTCCAAACAAATTGGTAAATTGATAGCCAAAGCCTTTGGTCCTCCACCACCCTACTTTTCCCCCTGCCTGCTCCACTGAATCCAATAACTTAATCTGGCACCAAGGCTTGCATTCCTTCTGATTGGTTATGCTCCTGTCTGAATGGGTTGTCATATGGTTTTAATACCATCCCTGTTAGTAGTTGTATTTGGGATTAAGTGAGATGATGCAAAGGACACGGTGGAGAGTCTGGTACATGGTAAAGGCCATGTGAAATCACTGGCTCAGCCAACATCAGCTGTTAAGTGGTTTAAACCTGCAACCTGAAGGGAGAGAGGCAGGATCAAGATCAGGGTCCGAGTGGAGTATTGTGAGCAGGTGAGGATGGGTTATGACTGGCAGTTTAGGAGCAGTCAGAGAGCCCCAAGATGACTCATGGGTGGGGCTGCATGGGTCCTCCTGCCTGGCTGGGGTGGCCAGCCGTAGTCACGCACCAACCCCTACCGTGCAGCAGGCTTCCTCTTGTTTTCACCACTACAGATCCTCTATGTTGCTGGAAACCAGGTTTTGTTTGCCTGAGACAGAGAAGCTTCTTCCAGGAGACTGGGCTCTGCCTTTCTAAGACCTTCGAGAATCAGAGATGCATGCTCCAACCCAAGATTACTCCTTGGAGGATCTTCTGCAGAGGCAGTATTGTGGCTAGGAGCGTAGGCTCTGGAGGCAGAATGCCTGAGTTCAAATCCCAGCTCTGTATGGTGAACTTGCGCCAGCCACTTAACTGCTCTGTGCCTTGATTTCCTCATCTGTTAAAAAGGAGCAACAGCACCTGTCTGTGGAGAGCTCATGAGGAATAAGTTGGGAAATACATATATGGTAGCCCCTACTTATCCAAGGCCCCAGTGGATACCTGGAAGTACAGATAGTACTGAATCCAGTAATTTAATGGTGTCATTTTTGCAGTTTGAGGTGCAACAGCAAAGCTAGCATAAATTTATTTTTCTTTCTTCACAGTTTCATGGAGAGAGGGTTTGTTCTTACTGTAGCTTACTTCACAACTTGTTTTTACTGTAGATTGCTTCACAGTTTCACAGATAGATTTGTTTTTGCTGTAGATCTTAGTAATTAGCATGCGATTTTCCCTCCGTTTGTTCTTAGAGTCTAGAACATTCTCCTTTTCACTTAAGGGAAGCATTTCAGGGCTTGTCTTTGACACATTTGAATTACCATGGTCACTACTCTTGTGCTTTGTGGTCTTGTAAAAGAAGGGTTACCTGAATACAAACACGTTGATGCTGTGACAGTCCTGATCACCAAGATGGCTGCCAGGCCACTACCTGTTGAGCGGCAGGGATACTCCAAACAGTGAGCCTATTCACACCCCAGGTGGGCTGAGGCAGGGCTGATGGAGCAGGATGGGGCGAGATTGCATCATGTTACTCCTAATGGAATGCAATTTTATACTTATGAATTGTTTATGTCTAGAACTTTCCATTTAACATTTTCAGACCACAGTTGACCATGGGTAACTGAAACTCTGGACCGCAAAGCTGCCGATAAGGAGGGACTATGGTAAAGTGCTAGAATAGCGCCTGGCACAAAAATAAAGCTCTGCTGTATACCAGCTGTTGTTAGGGACCCGGGAGTCTATGTGGAGCCATCGGGTTGATCCCCTCATCATTCTGTCCAAGATGCCAGACTCTCTTCATCTTCACGGTTGACCTTCTCCCTCTGCTCTCCTGGGCCCCCTCTCCCAGCTCCAGCATTCTACAGAGCTGGAGCCTAGGGTGATTAAATGTCTCGCTCATAGTCCAATGCAGAATCACAGGCAAACATGGGACGCCGTTGCAAGGTTTCGGATACCACTTCCTCATGCCTTGGAATATGGTCGGCTGGAAGCAGGGTTGGTTCTTGCCCACGTCTGGGTCTCCAGGACCCAGAGCTGAGAAAGCGCCCCGGGCAAGTGAAACAGGTCGGGCATTCAAACACCTGTCCCTTACAAGTCACCAACCAAAGCATATGCCTCCTACCCTGGAGCTCTGGCCTGCAGCCTGGAGAACGGGACTACAAATCCGGCTCACAGCAGAGTGGGACAGCTCCTCCTCAGCGAGCCTAGTCCGGAGCTTCTGGGATCCGCCCCAGAAGCTTCGCTCCGCTCGCGGCAGGTGCGTCCCCATCCCCCATCAAACCGCCCCGCCCCGCCGCTCAGGCACTTCTGCATCCGCGTTCCCATTTGACCAATCCCCGGGCGCCCCGCCCCACTTTTGACAGCTCGCTGAAAGTCCCACCCCCGCACGTGGCCCAGCCAGGAGATAACCGCTCCCCTGTCACCACTAGTTTGGCTTCAAAGGGTCCCTTCCCACCGCCTGCTCGCGTCGGAGCGCTCAGACCGCAGAGCATCCAGGGCTGCCGGGCCAGGCCGGGCTTTGGGGAGACCCCCAAGTGCGGGGAGGAGTTGTTCCCAGGGCCCTGAAACCTTCCAGATCCGCTCAGTGTAAACCGCCTCGGGTTTGTGTCAACATCCGAGGCCGGAGACTGGCGGCGGCTGGGGACCGGCTCCGTCTACAGGACTGGAGGACGGGAGGGTGGGGAATGGAGGAGTCCGTGGGGGTGGCCGGAGGGGGCCTGCTGGGGAAGAGCCCGCGAGAAGGAGGGTCTGTCAGGGCAGGGGTCGCAGGTGAGGGCCTCGGGGCGCCTGGAGACAGCCCCCGCCAGACGCGGGGCCAGCGGGAGTCAGGCGCGGTGTCCACGCCGCGCACGCTGCGCCCCCTCGGCTCAGCGGCGGGAGCTGCTGACCACCGGTCTCCTCCCCGGCACCGCCCACCCGAACACTCGGCCGCTAGCCGTCGCCCCCTTCCAGCTTCGGGCAGGATATGGGGGTGGGGTGGGGTCTCATCTTGTGACTCATCCCCTCTCCCACCCCCACCCGCCGCCAGGGCTTCGCGATTCCGCTGTGGTTCTCCCGTTTCCATAGCAACGGCGCGGTTGTTTTGTGGCTCCACTTGCTCAACCGTCGACACTTTTTACCGCACACCACGGCCCGGGCTCTGAGGCTCGGCGCGGGGGCATAGATTGGGGCATAAGCCTCCGCCTTCCCGGGTCTTGCGGGAAGGTCAGCGCGGGAGGGCGGGGCGCGCTCCCGCCGCTCGGCCTCTCCGGCCTCTCCGGCCTCTCCGGCCGCCCATCCCCACCTGAAACCCCGCCTGCCACTCTGCCCAGCGGAGCCAATCCGCGTCCGATCTTCCCGTGGTGGGGCGGGGCTTATGCAAATCGTGTCTCCTGCGAGAGGCACATAGTGATACAAGAGCTGGGAGGCGGCTCCGGCGCGGACCTCGGAGAGCCTCGCCGCCAGCCCGCCAGCCAGCCTCGTCCCCCGCGGCCCGCCGAGCCATCAGCCACCCGGCGAGCGGCCTCAGGTAACGCGGGTGGGGCCGGGCCCTTGGGGTCAACGTCGTCGGGCCCTGGTGTCCTCCTCCTCCTCTCTCCATCCCCTGACCCTTGATTCATCATCCGGACCCGGTTCCGCCAAAGGGGGCAGCACCTAGAGGGCCCGCCCCTGGGCAAGGGACCCTCATCTCAACCCAGGCTCCATGGGTCCCAGCAAGGAGGCAAAGCCGCCTCCTTAACCCCCAGCCCAGGTAAGAACAACTCTTGCTTTGGGGCACACACACACACAAACACACACATGCACACTTGTGGCATTGCTAGGACTTGGGGAGGCTCCAGTCACCCAGCCCCAGGGCACCCTGACATCACCACAGATAGCCCACTGCACTTCATCTTGGGGGTCCCCACACACACAGCTTCCATGCCACCGGGAGCCCACTCCTTCCTCCCATTGGCCCACACCCAGTCCCTACTTGTCACCCCTTGGGCTGACAGCGCTCACAGCCCACCTGAGGGTGAGAAGAACCCCTCACCCAGGTCAGCAGGCCTCCTCCTCACACTCTCAACAACCTCCCCACAGTGGTCCCCAGTGCTAGGCAGAGGCCCCCTATGTGCCTCTGGTCCTGGCTGGAGGCTGAGCCCGGGACACTGCCTCAGCAGGCCTCCATGCCCTGTCCATCTCTGCCAAGGCCCCGGCCTCCACACCTCCTGCACACCTCCCACACCTCACAGCCAAAGCACCAACTGCTCGCCTTCAGCCTCTCAGGTATCTTTCTAATTCCTCTCGGCTCTGGCTTCCTGCACCTGGCCGCTGACCTGCTCCCATCCTCCTGCTGCTGCACAGGGACAGTGCCAGAGCTCCATGTGGACTGTGTCACTCCTGACCCTAAGGCCAGAACCTGAAGGGTATAAGAGTTGGGTTCAAATCTTGCCTTTGCCTCAGTGACTGACTTTGGCCAAGTCTATTCTCTGATTCTTCGTGGGACGGGGATGGGGAACAGGACAGAGGATGGGCCCCTGACACTGATTCACTCTGGGTCTAAGGCTGATCTTGGAAAACAAGACCCCAAACCATTAGGACGTTTCAGAGGGGCAGCCTGAGGGGTTTCAGACCCTGCTGAAGGAACGTTGCTTCTCACCCAGGCCGAGGCACAGGCCACCCCCTCCCACACACATTCCCAGCCCCTTCTCCAAGAAGTCCCTCCTGGGTCACCAGCCCGCCCTGGCATGGGCAGCTCCAAATTGGAGGAGGACACCAGGGCCCACCCTTTGTTTTTCATCCCCTGCCTCTCATTAAGGAGAGGAAGACCTGGCCACTGCTGCCGTTGCTGCTGCCCGGAGAAGAGCAAACGAAGGAGAGGAAAGAGAAAATCTCCTGACCAGGGAGCTGTTGTCACCATGGCAACTGCCTCAGCACCAGCTCCTCCGGAGCTGGGTGAGGGTGTGGGATTATTGCCTCCTCCAGTCCCGCCTACCTTCACTGCCACCTTCCCATCCACAGCCCACAACCCCGAGCCCTCTAAAAGCCGCTGAACACAGACGGGCTGTGGCCTTGGGAACGGGGCAGTGCCGGCTCCTTGGCGGCTGGAGGACAGCCCTCAAGAGGTAAGCAGAGGAAGCTGCCCATGTCCAGCAGGGCCACGGCTCCAGCAGACCATGCCCCGAGCCAGGCTCTGGCCTTTGCCTTGTTGCTGATGGGCTCTAGTTGGCCTTGGGTGAACCCTTCCTTTCTCTGGCTCTGGGTTCCATTGTCTCTGAAGTGGGCGCGACAGCTGGAGAACACAGATAAACAAAACAGCCTGACAGGTTCCAAGGAGGAAGAAGGTCTGTTCCTCTTACATCCTCCACTGAGAGCTATTCATTGAGCATCGCTGCGTCCTAGGCACTGCCTTTAGGTCTCTGCAGGGTGGTTCTGTGCCAGCACAGAGGGCAGCACTGGGGAGCTACAAGAGGGCAGACTCGGGAACCATTGGAAAGGCACTTTTCTCACTTTCCAAGCTGCTCAGAAGGGGCTTGGGGGGCGGGGGAGGATAAGCTCCTTGCCATTGAGCTTTTTCTGGCTCCGGTCGGTTTCTGAGGCAAAGACTTCCACTAAACCGGGCTGCAGTCTGTACTCCTAGAGTACCAACTGAGGGTCAGAGAGCTCTAAAGTCTGCTTGCATGTGTGAGTGGCTCCAGGGCCTTACAGGGTCCATTCATGCCTGGAGCCCTGAGCCCATGCTGCTGAGAGCCCACTTTAAGCTGGATAGGGCTGATCTTGAGGAAATGGGCTCCAGCCAGGCCCCCAAGGCTGACTGTAGCTTGCATCAGTCCAGGAGAGAAGAAAATATGTTACAGGAGAGAAAAACAGCTAAGCACATAGATGAGGTCAGTTCTGGCTGTGAGAAGCCTGGTTCCAGAAGAATATACAGCAGACAAGGGAGCAGAGGGAGGTGAGCCTAGACAGGTGGATATATGAGACCACATTCTAGAGGATTTTGGAGTTCCCAGGGACCCATGGCCATGGTCACCTGTAGCTTATCATTGTATCTCTAGCATGTCGGGAGCCATTACCTCAAAGTAGAAGAATCCAAAGAAAGGAACTTCCGCGAAGCAGGTGAATCCCTATGAGCCTGGGCTTGGCTTGGCAAACTCAGTGCCAGGTGGATTTCAGCCCCCTTGACTGATACCCTGGCTCTGGACACAGTGAAGCACTTCCAGAGAAGAGACTATAGGACGTGGCAGCCAGCTAGATCTAGGGGAAGGAGAGAGGGGAAAACCGAAGACAACTAAGATGGGGTTTTCCTCCCAACCCTGACGGGAGAGCAAGAAGGAAGGGGTGAGGGGAGAGAGATGGATCATCTTCAGTTGAGGGTGAGTCTGGCTGTGGACACATTGTCTCAGAGGTGCCACTGGGCACCCCAGAGGTGGACATCTCATGGGTATCAGAAACTGTGGCCCAGAGCTCAGGCAAGATGGTCCCACTGAGGCCAAAAAGGAGGCAGGTAGAGATGGAAAAGGTCTGTGCTGAACAAAAGCAGTCGTGATTCAGAGAGGGTAGTCCAGGCACATGAGTGGCTTCAGCCCTAGTGCTCATCTGGAGCCTTGTGCTGACCTGCTGGGCAGCTCTGAGCTAGCCCTTTCCTCCTTCTCAATTTCAGTTGTCACTAAGAGAATGGAGAAGCTCACTTCCAACTTTGACTTCTGAGGGTCTCAAGCTTTATAGGGAACGGAGAGAAATGAAAAAGGAGCCTAGGGACCAGGTATAGGCAGGGAACAAGCAAGGCCCCAAGAGACAGAATTGTGGGCAGGGAGGAGAAAAGGGGCAGAAGGTGAGGACCACACAGACACTGTGTCACACACACACACAGACATGTGTGCTCTGACAGATTTGCAGCCTCACGCATTAACACCTTCCCACACACAGCCCCAGCCCCAGCACTCAGGCACACCCCACAGGAGACAGTGGAGAGAGGCTCTGCCTCCCCCACCAGGCACTTCTGCCTCCGAGTTCTCCAGCTTCTTTGACTACACCCTGAGCCTTCAAAATCTTTTGGACTTAGGGAGGGGGGTAGCTGGGGATGGAATCTGCCTCTTTCCATGGGTGTTCCAGAGACATCCATGCCTGCCCCTCCTTGCCATCCCCCAGAAGTTGGGGGGGGGTGTCTATTGCTACTTTCGCTGCTCCTTGATCTTCCTATGGCTCAGTGGAGCAGTCTGAACCCCACAGATATCCTGTAAACAGCTTGAGGTCTCCCAGCAAAAGATAAGGCATGGAACAAACCAGCCCCAAACCTGGCTGTTAAGGGCGTAGCCCAAGGCCACGCTGGCATGGGCCAGGTAGCGGAAGTGGAATTCCTCTGCCAGCCCAAGGACTTCCTTTGTTCCAGAGTATCTTCAGGGCAGGCCACCCTGGGGTGGGGCACTGGCCCCCTTCCAAAGAGACTCTGGGCAGGTCAGAGGTGTTTTCCAAGCCACACCCTGAGGAACCTAGGCTCCACAGGAACATGCTTCCCAGGGAGGTCAGACAGGAGTAGCCATTCAGTATTTGAGGCCTGGCCATGCTTCTGGGGGAGGGTCTGCACCACCGTGTGCAAACAGTTCTCCTGGCTCAGGCTACTTGAGGGACTCTTATTCCAGCCAGGGACTGACCTGCTGTTCCCCAAGCCTGCTTCTCAGCACCAGTACCTCCATTCCGCCCTAGTCTGAGCATCTGCCTCCACTCTTCTGTCCCCCTCACCCTCACCTGCAACCAAGCAGCCGTCACATTCTGCAGTACCCTCGCATTCTCCCCAATTTCTAAATCATTTCTCCACAACCCTATTCTAGCGCCATCAGCTCTCACCTGAACAGTATGGCAGGCCCCTCCCCCCTCTCCACCTACCTGCCTGTGAGCCCAGCTCATCTTGCACACTGCAGCCAGAGGAGAGATTTGAAAACACATGCCTTCCCTCTGGGTCCCCAGCACCTAGATGGGGACTCAGCATATTGTAAGCACCCTGCAAGCCTTGTTCGAAAAGCCCTGTCCCCTACAGGTGAAGTTCAGGCTCCTTGGCATGGATTGAAGGCCTTGTCTAATCCCTCATCTACCTCTTCATATAGAAGAGTGGCTGTGTCTGCTTTATCTCTGTCCCTGGCCCAGGGCCTAGCACACAGTCAGCCTCAATACATGCTCAGGGAATGAATGGATTAATGAAAAGCAGGATGTAATCAGGTCATCAGTGCCACAGGCTGGGGTTTCTGTGTGTACAGAGGAAGGAGGGAGAGAGACTTCCTGCTGCTGGGGAGGGTGAAGGGGTGGGGGAGGGCTCAGAAATGCCTTCAGGAACATCTCGGGAGATGGTGACAGGGAGACACAGAAGGAAATGGCCTCCGATCCCTGGTAGGAGAGGAGCTTGCTTTGGGGGGAGGGGGCTGATTGCAGCCGGCCCTGCACAGCCAGGAGAGGAGCCGCAGCTTCGTTCCCCCAGTGTGGGGAGTGGCAGGTGTGCCCAGGAGAGGAGGGGCTGGAGGTGGCGGCCAGCTGCAGCCCAGATCAGCTGGGAGAGTGGAGCCCTGGAAGGCGGGAGATCCCAAGGGCCAGGAGGGGAGACCTGCTATGAGGAGGGAGAGGGAGAGGAGGCAGGGCTGTGAGAGGAAGGGGAACCAGATGTGTTGGGGGCAATCTCCTGTGGACGCAGCGAGGCAAAGGATGGAGCCCCGGCTGGAGGAAGGTGGTGACACGAGGGGCACCTGTGCCCAGGAGGGACCCTGGGGGAGAGCAGGTCCGGCTCCTTGCGGGAAGGGGACTTGGCCTCTGGGCCAGGTCCGAAGCAGCCCTCTCTCCCCCAGGCCCCGCCATGGGGAAGACCAACAGCAAGCTGGCCCCCGAGGTGCTGGACGACCTGGTTCAGAACACGGAGTTCAGCGAACAGGAGCTGAAGCAGTGGTACAAGGGCTTCCTGAAGGACTGCCCCAGCGGCATCCTCAACCTGGAGGAGTTCCAGCAGCTCTACATCAAGGTGGCCGGGGCCGGGAGGGCAGGGCGGGACCCCGAGCAGCGCGGGCTTGGCGGGCGGAAGCGCGGCAGGGCAAGGCCGGCCGCGCCCCAACCTCCCGCTTCTGCCCGCGCAGTTCTTCCCCTACGGCGACGCCTCCAAGTTCGCGCAACACGCGTTCCGCACCTTTGACAAGAACGGCGACGGCACCATCGACTTCCGGGAGTTCATCTGCGCCCTTTCGGTCACCTCCCGCGGCAGCTTCGAGCAGAAACTCAACTGGGCCTTTGAGATGTACGACCTGGACGGCGACGGGCGCATCACCCGCCTTGAGATGCTGGAGATCATCGAGGTGCGCGCGGGCGGGCTGCCTTCACCTCTCCAGCCACCCTCCTGTCAGCTCGGGAGCTTCTCGCTGCTCCCCAGCGCCCCACCCCTCAGCCCGGCCCCAGGGTTTTACCCCCTGGGGTGGGTACCGTCAGAAACCTCATTTTATGAATGGGGAAACGGTAGCAAGTGGTGGTTTGTGATTCAATCCAGGGAGTCTGACTCCAGCGTCAAAGTATTCATCCAATGAGGAGGTGTCCAGCGCCTGACACCTGCCAGTCACTGTTCCTGCTTTCATGGGACATTCTTTCTAGTGAAAGAGAGAGAGAGAGAGAGAGAGAGAGAGAGAGAGAGATCTGCCATCTGCTGGTTCATTCCCCAAATACCAAAGCCAGGAGCTGGGAACTCCATCCGGGTCTCCCACATGAGCCTAACTACTTGAGCTGTTGTCTGCTGCCTCCAGGAATACACACTACCAGGAAGCTGAAATCAGGAATGCATCCAGGACTCTAACCCAGGCACTCCAATGTGGGAAGCAGGGGTCCCAAGGGGAATCATAGCTGCTGTGCTGAGTGCCCACCCTCTAGTGAGAAATTTACCATCAATAAGCCTATGCCATTTCAGCCAGTCAGTGCTAGGGAGGAGATAAGCTTAATCCTCCGCCTAGCGGCGCCGGCACACCGGGTTCTAGTCCCGGTCGGGGCGCCGGATTCTGTCCCGGTTGTCCCTCTTCCAAGCCAGCCCTCTGCTGTGGCCCGGGAGTGCAGTGGAGGATGGCCCAGGTGCTTGGGCCCTGCACCCCATGGGAGACCAGGAAAAGCACCTGGCTCCTGGCTCCTGCCATCGGATCAGCGCGGTGCGCCGGCCGCAGCGCGCCGGCCGTAGCGCGCCGGCCGCGGCGGCCATTGGAGGGTGAACCAACGGCAAAGGAAGACCTTTCTCTCTGTCTCTCTCTCTCACTGTCCACTCTGCCTGTCAAAAATAAAAAAATAAAAAAATAAAATTAAAAAAGGAGATAAGCCATGCAAAAGAAAGAGAATGGTGCAGAAGTTATTCTACATAAGGTGAAAAGAGTGTAGAGCAGCTGACCCCTGCGTGGGGTGGGGGGAGGGCCTTCTGTGATGAGGGGCCAACAGACTTAGGGTGGACTGTGTTTGTATTGTGCAGAGAGGGGCTGGGAGGCCAAGGTGGTTGGAGAGAAGTGAGTGAGGGGACAGCGATAGGAAAGGTGAGGAGATGGGGAGCCAGGAACCCAATCTCTGTGCATCTTGTGGACCAGGTGGAGACTTTGAATTTGTTCCGAGTGACGTGGGGAGCTCTTCAGTGATGGCTCTAGATGATGGGGGAGGGGAAGGGAGAGAGCAGCAGAAGCAGAATGACCAGTTAGGAGATGTCCAGATAGTCAGTCACGAGCTGGTGGGGGGCTACAATCTCAGAGGTATAGTGGAAACAGTAGGAAGTGGTTGGTTTGGAATCCATTGAAAAATTAGAGCCAGCAAGATTTGCTGAATGGTTGCATGTAGAGTGTGATGGGGAGCAGAGTCAAGAATTGTATCCGGGCTGGTGCTGTGGCGTAGCGGGTAAAGCTATTGCCTGCAGAGCCGGCATCCCATATAGGTGCCGATTCGACTGTCCTGGGTGCTTCACTCTCCACTTCCGATCCAGCTCCCTGCTGATGCACCTGGGGAAGCAGTAGAAGATGGCCAAAGTGCTTGGGCCCCTGCACCCATGTGGGAGACCCAGAAGAAGCCAGGGCACAGCCAGGCCAAAACCAGGAGCTGGGAATTCAATCCAGGTCTCCCTCATGGGTGACAAGGACCCAAGTACTTGAGCAGTTACCTTCTAAGGCACGCATAAGCAGAAAGCTGGGATCAGGAGCAAGACTGGGACTCACACTCAGACACTGCCATGTGGGAAGCAGGCATTGCCAGCAGGGTTTTACTTGCTAGGCTGAATGCCAGTCCCAGATATCCAGCCTTAATTACCGCCCGGTATCCTCACCTTCCCCCAGTGCTCTCCCCGCCCTGCCCTGCTCCCTCTCATTCACCTCCCAATCCTCAACACCCCTTGTGGGCACACCCACCTCTCTCCTCACCCCACCAGGCTATCTACAAGATGGTGGGCACTGTGATCATGATGCGCATGAACCAGGACGGGCTCACACCCCAGCAGCGCGTGGACAAGATCTTCAAGAAGATGGACCAGGATAAGGACGACCAGATTACCCTGGAGGAGTTCAAGGAGGCAGCCAAGAGCGACCCGTCCATTGTGCTGCTGCTGCAGTGCGACATGCAGAAGTAGAGGCTGGTGAGGGGCAGGGCCCCTGGCCGTGGGGGGCATGGCCGCCTCCCTACCTGATGACCTCTCTGGCTGGTCCTTACCCTGGGGGAGGGGCACTCCAGCCTCACTCTCTGGCCCACTCCCTCCTCTCTGCCCAAGCCCTCCTTCCCCTCAGTCAAAAGATCCTTGGGGGCCCACGTCGCCGTGCTAAAAAGCAGACAGGGCCTCAGGTGTCCTGTCATTTATCCCCACCCCCCAGCCTTGGCCCAGAACCAACATCCCTTGGGCAAGGGGGCTTGGCTTTTGCCCCAAGAGGCAGGGTTAGGGAGGGGGACTGGGGTCCTGCTTTGAGATTCTGCTGTTCCTGGGATATGCTTTGTAGAATGTGGTCTCGCAGGCCCCACTCCAAGAGTCAGATTGGGTGTGTCCTTTCCTGGGGACCCAGAACCCTCGATGGTGGTCTGTGTCCTGCTCTCTCAATGCTGCCTGGCCCCTCTGGCCCCAGCCTTTGGAGCAGCTCTTCAGTTCTTTCTTCAGCTAAAGTTTCTTGAGCACTTGCTCAGTGCCAGGCACCTCCAGGTGCTAAGGATAATGGCAGTTTACCTGACGCAGTCCTGGCCCCCAGGAGGCTCCAGAGGTGGACTTCCGGTGATCAGAGTCTCCCGCAGCGATGGTGGGATGGCGAGCACAGCAGAGCCGAGGGCATGCAGAGGCTGGCGAGTTTGAGAGGAACTTCAAATCTTCCAGCTCAGCTCCACACAAAGCTGCAAAAGAGGGCCAGAAAAGTGTTGGCAAGTTCAGGAGAAATCTGAGTGGACATTTTAAGAAAAATGAAAATTTACATAATAGTTATTTTTTTATTACCCTTTAAAAGAGCTAAAGTCATTTTATGAGTTTAGGATGTTAAAATATACTCTATATTATTTGGTTTCTTATAAAATGATTAAATAAATGTAGAAAATTATAATCGTGGGGGGAAACCTGAGAAAACAGAAGGAAATACTATCAAACTCACCAGAAAATGCTTTCTCTTGTCAGGCAAAGCCCTGAGCTGTCACCATCAGCAGCTTTGTGCTGCTTCTGCTTCCTTTTTATCACCTTTGCCAAGTCCACAAGGGACCCTCTATCACACACTTACTCTGGTCGGGTGCTGACTTCAGGAACAGGAAAAGCAAGGTTTGCCAAGAGTGAGACAAATGCGTGGCCCGGGTCTCGGTGCTTCACTTCTGGGTTTGGTTGCATTTCAGGAATGAGCTTGTTCTTTCACTACTACAGATGCAGAAAGAGGTAGAGGTCAAGGACCACCTAGGCACCGGTCAAGGCTCCCAGGCTGCATTTATGGACCAAATACCTAAAAATGGGCTGGGCATGCTCCATTTGAAAGGCTTTTTCTAACCCCCATCCTACATCTGCCAGGTAACTCATCATCTTCCAAATGTGCTGGCTTCGCTTTCCAGTTTTGCATCCGTGAGCCATACATCTGCATGCTTTGACTGCCAGAAAAAGTCATTTTGCCTCTTCAGCAAGTCTTTCACTTCACTTTCTCCTGTACTTGTGATCAGAAATTAGCTTTGATGTGCCGTGACAGTTGACTTCCTCTTGAACTGCGGGTGAAAACACACAGGTGCTGGCAGCCCAGGGTGGGAGGAAGGAGTGATTGCTGACGTGGGGTACAGGGAGGCAGGGACTGCATCTGCGGGAGAGAGACTCAGTGTACTCCTCACTACTGAGTGCTCACCAGTCCTGCTTCTCTGCAGGTGGAAAGTCTTGGGGATGCTGCATTGGACCTTGAGGTACCAAGACCACTAGGTTGCCACTCTTTCTGTCCTGCTTGTGTCACCAACATGGTGACACTGGGGAGTTGACACCCTCAGACAGTAGCTAGCAGGTATTTATCCAGTAAAGCCTCAAGGAATGTTCTGTTGCTCTCCAAAGCTGGCTATTAGGTGTGTCTTGTGCTGTCAGTCAGCACCACAGACATAAATGTTCAGCAGCTGGGCTCAGCTCGGGACTTGAATCTTCTAGCGGAAGACATTTTCCCAAAAGTGGGGTTCCTTCCCTCCAAAAGATTGAATCTAGCTTTGCTCACAGTCACACAGAATTCCATGGCTTCCAAAGGCTCCCCTATACCCCATTCCATTGCATCCTTGCAGCCCAGGAAGGTGGGGGTTTTTGTCCCTTTTCTTGGAACTTGGAAGCCAAGGTTCAGAGAGGGGGAGTTTTTTGTGTAAGAGGTGACACCAGGCTCAGACAGTTTCTTCCCTTCTCCTCCCTGCTCATTTCTCTGACTCTGTGTTGTATGGAGGTTGTCTGTGGGGCAAGCCAGGTTGCTTTCACTTTAGTATGCTTTCTGCTCAGAAGTTTTTGCGGCTACCGCCTTCCAAAAGGAACCAAAAGGAACTTCAACTTGGTTGAAGTTCTCACATTTTCCTGTTTCCCAAGATATTTCCAAGAATTTTGTTTCTGCTTCTGGGCATCTCTGCTAACATGCTAAGGTGGTTTTGGGGATGGCATCTGACTCAGCACCCTGGAAGCATCTTCCTCCATAAGAGAACAGTTTTTTTTTCCAAGCTGGGCAGGCAAGTCTTTCCCATGAGGGGATGTGTGATCACTCCATGTTACTGGACATATAACCATGGGTGATATCTGCTGGTCAGGGCAAGTGTTCACAGATAGCCCAGTAGTATGAACACACACAATGCCAGACCACGATCTAGGACCACTATCTTTCTGATGCGTGGAGCTTCAGGTGGGCCAGCCTTGCTCCCACATGCTCCAGGGTGTCCTGAGGATTGTGCACCCAAGAGCTCCAGTGGTAGAGCCCTGGACCTGCCTTGAGAAGAGACACATGTCTCACATTCCAGCCTCAGCTGAGAAAGTCTTGCCACATAGCACAAGTTTAACAGAGATTTGCATATGACTTGCACAGACACAAAAATATCCAGACAGTTAAAATCTTAATATATCAAAATTCCCCTCTCAAATTGCATGTATTAGAGGAACTCTGAATGGCAAGGTCTCAGAATCTGCCTTCTCACATATTCTGTCTCCATTCATCCTTTTGGGCTCCATCATGAGCCCCTTACTTGCTGTCTCTAGAAATCATAGCCAGGGCTCTTTAACATGCCCACTCCCAACTTACCATTAAGTAAAAGTTAAGGAGAAATGAGTTCATAAGCAAAGGAACTAAATTAGTTTTTTTCCTGGCAATGGCAGACCCTCATCTTGCTGCAGAGAGAGAGAGAGAGAGAGAGAGAGAGAGAGAGAAGGTAAGATATAGGGTGGGGAGAAGAAAGGAAAAAGAGAGGAAAAGAGAAGCAGCTGGGATTTCTAGGCAGGGTATTAAGCTGACACTGTACATATTTTTACACAAAAATTCATTAAAGCAACAAATATTTCCTGAAGGTCCACCCTGGGTGAGGCTTTGTGTTGACTTTAGAGATCACTGTGGAGGTAAGAATACATTTCTTACATGTTTTATTCATCATTTTTGAAGAAAGAAATAATTTGAATCCTACAAGTAAAGGTCCCAGAAAAGTGTAGGGTTTTCTTTCTTTTACTTTTGCCGGAGGGTAGGGGCAGAACCGAGCCTCCCGGGGTCGATGGCCCTTCCTGCTCAGTGGAGTCTCAAGGCAGCAGGTACAAGGAGGCCTTGGGACACAACGGGGCTGGGAGGCAGAGGGGGGCCCCAGTTCCCCAGTGTAGCCCCCTCTCCCCTCCAGATGTGCTATTGTGGCTGTGCCCACAGTGACTGTCCTCACTGTTCACGCTGTGCTGTGTGGTGTGTTTCTTTCCCCACTGACAATGAATAAAAGGTGTGACTGCGCTAGGGGCTCCTGCTTCCTATCATGGGATAGGGCAGAGGTGAAGGGAAAGGGAGAGAAGAGGCTGGTGGGGGTGCCTCAGAGCCTTCCTGGGGCCCAGGATCCGGTTCTAGCCAGAACTCTGGTTATATGGCACAGGAACCCACTTGAGCTGGTTCCAAGAAAGGGAGAGTCAGATGACAAGGGGCCCTGAAGATGGAAAATCAAAGGCTACGTGGGCCTTCAGAGAACTGGAACTGGCAACTGGGCTTCCCCCTTCTCATCTCAGGGCCTCCCGGGCTCTCGTGCACTGGGCAGTATTTGCGACTGTGCCCTTTTCCTTGGCTTCTCTTCAAAATTTCTTGGTTTCCCTGCACAAAGTGGCTGTGCCTCCCACTCTGTGCCTGACAACCCTCCACTCTGGGTCTCAGTTCCAGTTCTCAAGCAAAAGGATCTGATGGGTTTGGCTTAGCTTTCAGTGGTACCCCTGAGGTCAGGCATCCTCCCGTAGTCCAATTATCCATGGCCACACTGCACCCTGCTCTCTGGGGTCTGTGAGCAGAGCAGTCCCCCCCAGCAAAGGAAGCTAACAGCCTCCCTGCTAAGACTCAGTTTCTCCCTGTGACCAGTGGAAGGCACCACTATCCATGACATGACAGTGGAAAGAAAGACCAAGAGCCAGGGTCACAATGAGTCCATGAGGGGTCTCTCATACAGTTAGGAACTAGAGTGACCTCAAAAGTATGTAAGCAGCAGTGAACTAATCTGGAAAAAAAAAAAAAAAAAGATATCCTTATTCTGGACGCATACTGCCATCTCAGGCCAGTGAACATGCACTGGATTCAGCCCCCACCTGTCCTGCTCAGGGATCCTTGTGTGGTGCATAACCCATTTCACCAGTCCCAGGGGCCAGGCCTGGAGCCCTGAGACCCCCTTTCCTGACCCCAGCCTAGGGCAGGGAGAGGTGGTAACACCGTCCTCTGAGAACAGGCGCCGTCCCCTACAGCAGTTGGGAGGCAGTGGCAGCTGGAGGTGCCTGCTGCCTCCTGCGAGGCTCAGCTGCTGTTGCAAGGGTTTCCTCAAGGACACTCGGGGGCAGCTTCCCCGGCAGGAAGCAGTCAGGTCCCAGGAAGGAGGCTGACCTGGCCCGGGGGGAACCAGGAGCCTAAGGAGGTGACGCAGAAGCTGAGAGCCTGGGGCTGCTGCTCCCAGCTGAAGGCACACCGGGGTGGGGGCCCTGTGCCCTGCCTGCCTTGGGGTGCTCAGGTCCTCAGTTTCCTTCTCTCAGCACTCCCCACTCGGGCCCTCATAATCTCTCTCTCCAGGTGGGGCCACCTGCCCGGTATTCTTTCTTTCTCTCCCCAACCTTGCAGCCACCAAGAGTGACCTTCCTAAAGCACAGGGCTGACCATGTCAGCTTTTCAACCACCCCCTCCCCTCACTGTGTCCCCTCCTCACTGTGACCCCTCCCTCACTGGTCCCCTCCCCTCACTGTGATCCCCCTCCCCTCACTGTGCTCCCCCCTCCTCTCACTGTGCTCCCCCCTCCCCTCACTGTGCTACCCCTCCCTTCACTGTCCTCCTTCCCTGACTGGGGTCCCGCCTCCCCTGAGTGGGACGCGCCCCGCATTGCGAGGCCTCTCCCCTTACTGTGCTCCCCCCTCCCCTCACTGTGCTCCCCCCTCCCCTCACTGTGTCCCCTCCTCACTGTGACCCCTCCCTCACTGGTCCCCTCCCCTCACTGTGCTCTCCTGTCCCCTCACTGGCCCCCTCCCCTCACTGTGATCCCCCTTCCCTTACTGTGCTCCCCCCTCCCCTCACTGTGCTCCCCCCTCCCCTCACTGTGCTCCGCCTCCCCTCACTGTGCTCCCTCCTCTCCTCACTGTGTCCCCTCCTCACTGTGACCCCTCCCCTCACTGGTCCCCTCCCCTCACTGTGCTCCCCCCTCCCCTCACTGTTCTCCCTCCTCCCCTCACTGTGATCCTCCTCCCCTCACTGTGCTCCCCCCTCCCCTCACTGTGCTCCCCCTCCCCTCACTGTGCTCCCCCCTCCCCTCACTGGTCTTCTCCCCTCACTGTGCTCCCCCCTCCCCTCACTGTGTCCCCTCCTCACTGTGACCCCTCCCTCACTGGTCCCCTCCCCTCACTGTGCTCCCCCCTCCCCTCACTGTGCTCCCCCTCCCCTCACTGTGCTCCCCCCTCCCCTCACTGTGATCCTCCTCCCCTCACTGTGCTCCCTCCTCCCCTCACTATGCTCCCCCCTCCCCTCACTGTGATCCCCCTCCCCTCACTGTGCTCCCCCCTCCCCTCACTGTGATCCTCCTCCCCTCACTGTGATCCCTCCTCCCCTCACTATGCTCCCCCCTCCCCTCACTGTGATCCCCCTCCCCTCACTGTGGCAATGCCCCAAGTCCCTGCATGCCTGGCCTCAGAAACCTTGTTCTTCCTCTGACTTCCCCTTCCTGTACCTGTACTTGAGCCCCTGAACCACGCCCTAGATTTCCCAGGAGTATCCCAGTCTTCTATGCTTATGCTCAAGTCATTGCCCCTCCCTGGGCCTCTCATTCCCGTCTCCAGCATCCCTTCCTCTTGGAAGCCCTCCCGACCCTCTAGCAGGGGCCTCGTGTGCACAGGGCCCCATCACAGCCCACAACCACCCGTGTGATTCTTTCAGCCGAGTGCAGGGGAAGGCTCCAGGGTTTCAAAATAATGCACTCTCAAAAACTATTTATTTTTATTTGAAAGGCAGAGAGACCAAGAGATAGAAATAGAGACAGAAGGCCAGCGCCTTGGCTCACTTGGTTAATCCTCCACCTGAGGTGCCAGCATCCCACATGGGCTCCAGGTTCTAGTCCCAAGTCCAGCTTTCTGCTGTGGCCCGGGAAGGCAGTGGAGGATGGCCCAAGTGCTTGGGTCCCTGCACTTGCACGGGAGACCAGGAGGAAGCACCTGGCTCCTGGCTTTGAATCGGCGTAGCTCCGGCTGTAGTGGCCATTTGGGGGGGGGGTGGTGAACCAACGGAAGGAAGACCTTTCTCTCTCTCTCTCTCTCACTGTCAAAAAAAAAAAAAAAAAAAGAGAGAGAGAGAGAGAGAGAGAGAGAGACAGATACAGACCACAGAAAAAACTCCCTTATGCTGGTTCATACCCTTGCCTGCAACTGAAGCCAAGAGCCCAGAACTCAGCCCAGGTCTCCCACATGGGTGGCTGGGACCCAGCTACTCGGGCCATCACCTGCTGCCTCCCAGGATACACATTAGCTGGAAGCTGGAGTCAGGAGCAGAGCGGGACTCGAACCTAGGCACTCTGATATGCTGGGCATCCCAACCGATGTCATAACCACTGCACCAACTGCTCACCCCTCTTCATGTGTTTGGAGACAAGAAAGCCCAGGCTCAGAGAGTGGTAAACCTGGGACTTGAACTCATGTCTTCTAACATCGAGGCCATTGGTTCTTGTGCTTTCTCAGCCATGGGTGTGAAGACAAATCAGAATATGAATAAGCAGATAACAGACCTTGAAAGGAAAGGTCTGGCCTGGTGGGAGGGGTAGTAGGTACGGGGTGAAGGGGGACTGATGACTTTAAGGAGGAAGGGGCATCTGCCTGGTGCCTTGCTGGGCTGCCAGGGGAGCGGTTCGAGAGGCGCGGCCCTGGCCTCCGAGAGGTCTGTTCCGGGCTGATTCATCTGAAGAAGAGCTGGGCCCAGAGGGAAAACGCTGGCTGGGCTTCAGGAATGCAGAGCCAGGGAATCCCTGCACCCAGCCAGCCAGAGACGTGGCCACAGGCGTTTGGAAGGGCAGCCGGGGATCCAGTTCTCTAACCACCCTTCCCTAAAGGGTCTAGGGAAAGTTCTTAAAGGGACTGAGCTGAGTCTGGGCGGGATCCTCTGATGGCAAAGAACAGGCCAGCCCAGGGCTGTGTGGGGAGAGGGAGATGGTGAGTCGGGACTTTGGGTGGCCCCAACCCCAGCAAGCTTAAGCTGAAAGGAGGCCTGGAGGCATTTCAGGCTGGGCCTGGCAGCCCAGTGCTGCACCCTCTCTCCCTCTCGGTCTCTGCTTTTCTCTCTCGGTGACCCCACTGTCTCCCAGATGGGCTTCTGTGTTCTGTCACCCGCACAGGAAAAGATGCATGTCCATCTCTTTTCATCTCAAAATAATAACCCCAGAGAAAGAAGAGCCCAGTGCCCCAGCATCCCTGTACTGTCACGTGTCACTTCACAACGCATGTTGAGGTGATCTCTGTCACCACTGTGTGAATCATGTGGCGTGTACTCACACCCACCCACCACACACCTGCACTGCTGTCCAGTAAGCTCTGATGCTGGATACTGGAGGTGATTATAACACAAGGGGCTGGCATAGTGGCACGGTGGGCTAAGCCTCTGCCTGCACCACCAGCAGCCCATATGGGTGCCGGTTTGGGACCCGGCTACTCCACTTCCAATCCAGCTCCCTGCTAATGTGCCTGGGAAAACAGCGGAAGATGGCCCAAGTGCTTAGATTCCTGCTCCAATGTGGGAGACCCGGAAGAAGCTCCTGGCTGCTGGCTTCTGATTGGCCCGTCCCTGGCTGTTGTGGCCATTTGGGGAATGAACCAGCATATGGAAGATTTCTCTCTCTCTTTGTCTCTCCTCCTCTTTCTCTAACTCTGCCTTTCAAATAAATAAAAAATAAATCTTTTTAAAAAATTGTCACTAGGTTGTTTTGTACATGGGACCACTGTAACACAGGAAGTCTGTTGTTGGCCATGATGTCACTATGCAGCACATGACAGTATACAAGTGCTGCAGTGTGGCCCAGAGGGGATCACATGTACTACTGGTCCCTGGACCAATCACTGTGTCCAGAGAAATAGGATTCTACAATTGCTCAGGTCTCAATCACTTGCTTGCTCTTTGGCCAGTGAGTTGTGGAAGTAGGGCTTGTTATCAGAAGAGTGTGGACAGGTGGCTTAGTCAAGCAAAACCAAGGCCACCAACTCTTTGGGGGCACTTTTGGAAGCAGTGCAGAGAATCTTTTTTTTTTCTTTAAGGGTTTATTTATTTATTTGAAAGGCTGAGTTACAGAGAGGGAGAGGCAGAGAGAGAGAGAGAGAGAGAGAGAGAGAGAGATCTTCCATTTGGTGCTTCATTCCTCAAATGGCCATAGTGGCCAGGGCTGGGCTGATCCAAAGCCAGGAGCCAGGATCTTCTTTTGGGTTTCCTACGTGGGTGCAGGGGCCCAAGGACAGGCCACCTTCTGTGGCTTTCCCAGACTCATTAGCAGGGAGCCGGATCGGAAGTGGAGCAGCTGGGACTCGAACCAGGGCCCATGTGGGATGCCGGCACCACAGTTGGTATCTTTACCCACAACACCATGCACCAGCCCAATGCAGAGAATTTTATGAAAATATAGAGATGGCATTCTAGCCAGGCCTCCAGTGGGGACTTGGGAAACCGTCAGCACCAGAGGCCGTCCCCTCCTGGGGCAGCAGGGTCACACAGGGGGCCTCCCCTGCCCTCTGCCCGTCTTCCCAGCGCTATCTGCTCCTGGACACTTTCTACCCACTCCCAGCTTCAGGCCACATATCACAGCTCTCCCATGGGGTGCAGGGCCCAAGTTCTTGGGCCATCCTCCACTGCACTCCCGGGCCACAGTAGAGAGCTGGCCTGGAAGAGGGGCAACCGGGACAGAATCCGGTGCCCTGACCGGGACTAGAACCTGGTGTGCCGGCGCCGCAAGGCGGAGGATTAGCCTGTTGAGCCGCAGCGCCAGCCCAAACTCCGTTTTTATCACAATTGACCACGGTTCTGAGTTGCCTGGGGTCAGCTCAAGGTTTAGGTTTTACCACCTAATGTGGTGTTGGCTGGAGCCACTCACACAGTTGCATATGGGAGCTAGGGGAAGCCACAATGGCCTCACTCCTGTGACTGCCAATTTGTGCTGATGGTCGCACAGGAACCTGAGTTCCTTTCCACCTGCTGTCTCATGCTCCTGAGCCACTCTGTCTCCCTACATGGCCTTTCCAGCTACTACCATACTAGTAGCTGGCTTCCAAGAGGGCAAAAATGGCATCTGCTGGGGCCGGCGCTGTGGCTTAGCGGATAAAGCCGTCGCCTGCAGTGCTGGCATTCCATATGGGTGCCGGTTTGAGTACTGGCTGCTCCAATTCCGATCCAGCTCTCTGCTATGGCCTGGGAAAGCAGTAGAAGGTGGCCCAAGTCCTTGGGCCCCTGTACCTGTGTGGGATACCTGGAAGAAGCTCCTGGCTCCTGGCTTCGGATTGGTGCAGATCCAGCTGTTGCAGCCACCTGGGAAGTGAACGAGAGGATGGAAGACCTCTCTTTCTCCTTGCCTTTGCCTCTCTATAACTCTGTCTTTTGAATAAATAAATCTTGAAAAAAAATGGCATCTGCAAGGACCTTAAGCGTGGGGGACTGGCACTGTACTGCAGCAAGTTACTGGCATCCCATGTAACAGTGCAGGATCAAGTCCCGGCTGCTCTGCTTCCAGTACAGCTCCCTGCTAATGCAGGAAAGCAGTGGAAAACCGCCCAAGAACTTGGGTCCCTGCCACTTTCATAGGAAACCTGGATGGAGCTCCAGCTTCCTGGCTTGGGCCTGACCCAGCTCTTGCCATGTGGCCATTTGGATAGTGAACCAGAGGATGGAAGATCTCACTCTCCCTGTGTCTCCCTCTCTCTCTGTAACTCTGCCTTTCAAATAAATAAATAAGTCTTAAAAAAAAAAAAAAAAAGACTTCGCTTGGAGGGCCATAGCATCACTTCTGCTGTATTCTGCAGTCAAGGCAAGTCTCTTGGATGGGTACCCTGGTACAGGAGGCCAAGCTGCTGCTTGGGACGCTGGCATCCCAGGTCAGAGTGCTGGTTCGAGTCCTGGCTACTCTGCTCCTTATCCAGCTTCCTGCTAGTGCACACCTTGGGAGGCAGCAGATGATGGCCAAAGGACCCATGAGGAAGATTCAGCTGTAGTTACCGGCTCCTGACTTTGGCCCTGGCTGTTGTGGGCATCTGGGGAATGAAGCAGCAAATGGAAGCGTGCTCTCTCTCTCTCTCTCCCCACCCCCCAGCCCCTTGCCCCACCCTCACCATCATCAATCAAATAAAGCAATTTAAAAAAAAAAGCAGGTCTCAGAGCCAGCTCAGACTGGAGCCCACCTGCAGACGGAAGGAGTGTCACAGTCACATTGCCAAGGGGTGGGGGGGGAGCCTGGGAAACAGCCTCCTATGCCTGCAGAAGAACATAGCTAAGCACGGTTCCCTCCCTCGGTCCTCAACCATTCATTGCTGTTATCTCCGCTTCCCTCAACACAAGGCGTGCTTGGAGGCTGGGCAGACCCCGCCATCCTACCGTCCCCTCCCAGCCAGAGGTCCTCCTGGTTAAGCTATTTCTCCTGCCGCTCCCACCCAGCTGTGCCCACCTCTGAGTCACTTGTCTTCCTCCTGCCCTGTACCTGCAGATGGGTGGGGCTGGTGTGGGCGCCCTGGAGGCAGTACAGGGCTCTGCGCCAATGGGATAATGCTCTCGGATCCTGGGATGGTAGTTTCAGAATATCTGATTCCCACGCCCCTCTTCTACCCTCCTTCGCTCCAGCCCCTTTTAGCTTATCAACTGCGCATCCCGAGCTCCGCAGGGGGAACCTGGGAGGGAACGCGCGCCCTCTTCTGGCTACCGCGAGGACCAGCAGGAGTCCAGGTTCAGAGTCCCTATGTGTCCTTTCCGTCCGGGTGGCTAGCCAAGAGGAGGGGAGCCTGGTCTCTCCGTGGACCTCAGGAGCCCCTCGTAGGAGAACCTGTTCTCTTAGTGGACCTCAGGGGACCCTCGCCTTGGCGTGGAAGGGCTGCTGGCTGGCCCCCTCCTTCCATTGCTCTCTCCACTCGGAGCGGGCCCCTGCTCTTGGATGGAGCAGTGCCTTCACCCTCAATCCCACCTCCCACAGTCCGCGGAATGGACTTGGGGTTTGAAAGAAAGGTCCCAGGATCCTGGCCACGAGTAGAAAGGGGGACGGCTAGCTAGGGGTGGGTGCGGGGACAAGCAGAGGAGAGGACGGCAGCTTTCTGTTTTCCGTTTTGGGGGAAAAAGTTATCAGGCCTGGCCTCTCTCCTCGCCCCTGCACGTCGCCCCTGTATTCGCGGACCCGCAGTGGGCCACAAACCTGGCTCCAGGCCCCCTCCTCCAGGAAGTCAGGGAGGCAGCGCAGCCCCGTGCGATAGGGGCAGGAGGCTGTGGGGGAGCGAGCTCTCAGCTGTGCCCCCTGTGCGTTCCGCAGCGGCGCTGGCAGCACAGCTCTGAGCAGGGCACCCCGCCCAGCCCCCGGCGCCCCCGCCACCCTCCCCGCCGCCCGCCGCCCTCCGCGGCTCGCGCCTGGGGTGCGCCTCCTCCCTCCCGCCTGGGCCCGGCGAGCTCCGCGTCTCCGCCGCGCCTGCTCCGGCCGGGCAGGCTCAGAGCCGGAGCATGGACGCCGAGAAGCCCCGGGAGCCCCAGGAGCCCCGCGAGCCCGGGCCTGGGGCAGAGACGGCGGCGGCCCCGCGCTGGGAGGAAGCCAAGACTTTCTACGACAACCTCGCGCCCAAGAAGAAACCCAAATCGGTAAAAGCAGGGTGCCGGCTTGGTGCGTGTGCGTGTGGGGGGGGGGGGGATGAAGGGGAGGTGTCACTCCTGGGAAGGGGTCGCCAGCCCCGCCCCTCCACCCTCCACCCCCACCCCCAGGAAGGAACCCTTGGCTCCCCTCCGGGAGGGGGCACAGCTCCTCGGTTCCAGAACGCGTTCGGCAGTTGGCGCGGGCTCGGGTTTATTTTGGGAGCTCTGCTCTGGTGCTTGTGTTGGTTCCCCCCCCCCCCCCCCCCCCCCCGGGCCTTGAGTTCCACGCCAGGATCCCCCTCCCCCATGCTGTCATGAGGGCCCAGCTCCGGGCTGGTGGCCCCGGCCCCAGCATTTCCCTGAGCGGGCTGCACTTGTTGGCAAAAGCGGACATCAGCGCTGCCAAGCGCCCCGGGCTCTGGTAACCTGAGTCTGGAAACCTCCCTCCCCGCCGTGCCCTCCGCGCCCAGCCATGGGGGCAGCGGGTCCCGGACCCCGGCTCTCCGCATTGGGCTGCGAGAACTGCCTCCCTGCGTCCTAGGGGAAAGGAGCTGCCAGCTCCAGGCTCTGGGATCTGCGATCTGCCAGGGCTCCCGCCGCTGACCCAGAGCTCCAGCTCGGAGCTTTGCTTGCCTCGCCTTGAGCATTAAGATCCCTGCGACCCCTGACCCCTGCAAGGATGCCAGCCTCTCCCTCATCAGGCAAGTCCATGATGCCCTGGTGGGCCCCTGGGCGTGGCTCCCTCCAGCTTCTGCGATCTCAGAGCTTGGGGAAGGGACCAAGGACAGAGGCTGGCCCACAGGCACCCTCCAGGAAGCTCGAGCCTGCATTGGGGCCCAAGGAGGCCCACCCTGTCCACAGTCACTCCCGGGGCACCTCCAAGCCTCCACCGGCAGTGCGGACGTTGAGAAATGCAGGAGGCTGACTGCCTGTGTCCGGAGCTCCCAGTGCTGTGGGGATGGTGGGGGCTCAGGTTAGAGACCCTGCACGGTGCGGTGAGACTTCAGACTGGGGACGGCTTTGGGGAACGAGCTGACTGGAAGGTGGAGTTGCCTGGACAGAGAGCAGTGGCAGGACCGGCAAATGTACTGCCAGGTCGCACGGGGTAGGAAAGTGCAGGGTTGTTGGGAGAAGGGGGTCGGGGTGGGGTGTTGTAGGGGAGGGGAGGTTTGGAGGCCCTTGAGCGCCTTGTTTAGGCACCTCACCTGAGTAGGGCTCTGGGTTTTCAAACTAGCTTCCGCGGAACCCCACGTTTCCAAGGGTCTGCACACGTATGGATCAGATTTCTTCCTTCTTCAATCTACGTCCTAGACAATTCAAAGTGCGTTCTAAGACCCAAGTTCCTCCAATGTGTTAGGTGGAAATTTTAGCATCTTGGAGACCATGAACCAATTGACTTGTGTGGCAGGTTGCTTGCTATGTATTTATTTGTTCGCAAACTTCAGAATAAAGCTCTTCCTGTAATCTTGTGTCAAAGAAGAACATCCTGAGGTGGCCAGGCTTTAAAACAAAACAAAGCAAACTGCTTCTGATAATTTACAACCACACGTTGATGTAAATCAGGACTTCCTCAATGCTGTGCGAAAAACACGGGAGCCAACTGGCTGGGTGCTGAAGCCGAAGTGTGCTCTGGCATCCTAACCCCGAGTTGCAAGCTTGCTGTCATCCAGACAACTGGGTGGTTTTCATTGGCTGACTTTATGATCAACATAATCATATAAATGTGACGCATTTGAATTTGTAAAATGAATTTATGCCAATTATCTATAGCAATATCTAGCTTACATATTGGAGTTCTGCCCAAGAGTTCATTGAAATAAAAGGTCAACCTACTTTTGCAAAACGTGAAAACCATTATGGAGCTATTGCAGGGTTTTGCAGCAGGGGATTAACTTGGTCCCATTTGGCATTTCAGAAAGATCGCTCCGGGGCATCGTCTCCTCGGGAGGGGCTTGGAGAGGCTGAGCGTGGCAGCAGGCACACCAGCGAGTGGCCCCTGCCTGCACAGGAAGCTGGCTTGTGTCACATCCCCAGGCATGGCAAGAGGGGATGGATGCTGGGAACTGAGTAGCAAATGATTCCATGCTCAAAATCCACTTCCTCCCCAGACACCAAGGAAACGTGGAGAGCTCCAGACCAGCTGCCGGTCACGACCCCCTGGTCAGCCCCTGACCCTCCCTGCTCGCTGGGAAGAAGGCAGCCTGGAGGTTTCCTGCTCCTCCCTGTGGGGGCCCCTCTTCCCATAGGCTATTTTGGGGACTTTGGGCCTCATGGGCCCCATCAGGGCCTGACCTGGGTTTGCTCCTGTTCCCAGGGACCTGAGTGAATATTTAACCATTGGGGGCCCTTACCTCAGGGGGCCAGAGGACCTCCTCAGCCCAGAGCCGCTCAGTCTGCTCTGAAGTTCTAGAAAGAACAGCCTTCGGGCTATGTTTGTGTCTGGAACTGTGCTGGCCTAAATGGGAGCTCCTGGAGCCTGGGGCGGTCAGGGTGGCTGGGGCCGAGCTGCCCTCTGTTGTCCCTCCATCTCCATCCCCCAAGCCAGTCCTCAGCCTGCATCTCAGCTCCCCCCCCCCACACACACACACCCCAGGGTGGGGGACAGCAGAGTGTGCTGGCAGGACCCTGGCTCTCTGGAACTCCGAGCTCCCAGACTGAGCCCCTGATGGAGGTCGGTTCTCAGCCTGGGATCGATCTGGGCTTCTTTCTGATTTCTGTGCCTGGTGGGGGGCCTGCCTCTGCGTGTGTGCAGGTGCTCAGCTCCTCCCCAGCTGTGGCCAGCCCTTTCACCTATTCCTTCAGCTCCGCCAAAAGCCTGCACAGTCTGGGATCTGCGGCTCCCCCAGAAGCCCAGGACCTCTGAGCCCTGGACTCCTCCTCCCTAGGGCCGTGTCTGAGCAGGGGTAGGACCCGCAAAATCTTGGGCCCCCGGCCCTGCCAAGGCAATGGCAGACAGGGTCTCAAAATTTAATACATCTATAACTGGCTCGTTTAGCAGTGGATAATTTTGTATGCCCATAGATGAAGTCATAAATACCACATGGCCCCTGGTAGAAAACAGGTTCCCCACCCCTGCCCTACAGGCTTCCTGGGTTGCCGAGAGAGGGTGTCTTCTCCCTTCTAACCCCACCTACCACCATGCCTGTCACTCCTTTTTCTTTAACACCACTTTCTTTCCTTGAACCCTCACACTGGTGCCCAAGGACGCACAGACAGACAGGCCATGGTGCTGGGCACCTGGAAGAGGCACTGGGGCTGAGCCTTGGAGGGGAGGCACCCGTCCCACCACTGCCTCACAGCGACCCTGTGGGCCACATGCGTCACCTGGGTTAGGGTTAAAAGCTGGGGCACTCTTGGGTCTCCCAGTCCTATTTTAAGTTCTGAAGGTACACTGCCACTCGCTCCAAGTGGCTATTTAAGTTCATTATCATTAAGCGACATTGAGAATTCAGGCTCACTGGTTGGAAGTTGCTCACAGCCACCTGGGCAGCAGATTCGTGTCTGTCCCAGGCTTGACCCCACAAAGAACCAGTGGAGTTGAGTCTACAGCCCACAGGCCTCTCAGGACCCAGCCAGAATTGGGGGTGTGAGCCCCCTCTCCCCCTCTGTAATGCCCTGGGGATCGTTACCCCGGAGAGCTCAGGTCACAGAGGTGGTGGGAAGCGGGGTATCTGTGAGCCACTAGGATGCCCACGTTCTGATCCTCCCCAGGGAGTACAGAGGTGCAGCTGCGCTCAGGGTGCCAGGGCGCCGCTCTCCATTCCAGCAGAGGTGGGTATCTGAGTCTATTTGCGCTGCTATAAAGGAGTGCCTTAGGCCAGTGGCTTCTGCTGTAAACAACGGGAATTCTGGAGGCTGCAGTCCAAGGTCAAGGTGCCGGCAGTCTCATTGTCTGCTGAGGCCCCTCCCATTGTCTGCTGAGGCCCCTCCCACTCACTTGTGGACAAGGACAGCGGGGGGGGGGGCCGGGGGGCTGATTTTTATAAGGACATTAGTCCCATCATGAGCCCCCACTCCATCACCTCCCAAAGGTCCCACCTATTTTTTTTTTAAGATGTATTTATTTATTTGAGAGGCAGAGTTATAGAGACAGAGACAGAGAGAGGTCTTCCATCCGCTGGTTCACTCTTCAAGTGGCTGCAATGGCCAGAGCTGAAAAGATCTGAAGTCAAAAGCCAGGAGCTTCTTCCAGGTTTCCCACGCCAGGTGCAGGAACCCAAGGACATGGGCCATCTTCTACTGCTTTCCCAGGCCATAGCAGGGAGCTTGCATAGGACGTGGCACAGCTGGGACTTGATCTGGTACCGGCTGAAAGGAGATGCCGGCACTACAGGTGGCGGCTTTACCCACTACTCCACAGCGCTGGCCCCAGGCCCTGCCTCTTAATACATCACCTTGGGAGTTAAGATTTCAACATACACATTTTCTGGGGCCACACGATTCAGACTCCAGCCTTGGGGAGGGAGTTCTGAGAATCTGAGAGGAGGTCCTTTGCAATCTAGTGCCTGCCTACTCTTCTGGGCTCGCCTGCACCCTTCCCCCATGCCCTGGCCGCTGTGCAGCTTTGTGAATGCCCCGTGTGCCCCTCCCCAGGCCTGCCCTCACCCCACTCCTCCATCAAGCTCTGCTCCAGGATGCCAGGGCCTCCTCTCCCATGACATCTTCCTCCAGAGCCCTCGCACCGAAACCTTGCGCTCACCTCTGCTCTGCCACTCATTCCCCTCTCTTTGCACCTGAGCCCTCTGTGTACCTATCTCTGTCCCCTACCAGCCTGTGAGCACCACAGGGCAGGGGCCAGCTCTTCACCAGGACCACTCCTAGGTAGGACTCGGGTGCTTGGCACAGAGAGCCAGTAAGTGTTTGTCCGATTTGTATCCACTAGAAAAATCCTCTGAGCACCTACTGTATAGCAAGTACTTTGAACAGGTAGGACCAGATGAGGGACTGCCCGCCTGAGAGGTTTTATTTATTTATTTATTATTTATTTATTTATTTTTCTGAGAGGTAGAGTTACAGACAGTGAGAGGGAGAGACAGAGAGAAAGGTCTTCCATCTGCTGGTTCACTCCCCAAATGGTTGCAAGGGCCAGAGTTGTGCCGATCCAAAGCCAGGAGCCAGGAGCTTCTTCCGGGTCTCCATATGGGTATAGGGGCCTAAGCTCTTGGGCCATCGTCTACAGCTTTCGCAGGCCATAGCAGAGAGCTGGATCGGAAGAGGAGCAGCCAGGACTAGAACCAGGCCCATATGGGATGCCGGTGCCGCGGGTGGAGGATCAACCTACTGTGCCAGGGCGCCGGCCCCCAGAGAGGTTCTCTTTGTGTCCATACTTTTTCCTACTGGACTCTGTGACTTCAGGGACACCAAAGGTTTACCTCCCACGCATAGTATCAAATACTAGCTGTAAAATAACAAGTAAATACTCAGGTCTCCTGCGCCTCCTAGAGAGAGAAATAGCAAAATAAGCAAGTGTTACATTTTGCTAAGGAGACTGGTGGAAGAGCTCCCAGATGGAGACCAAGGGTGGGGAAGACTTCCTGGAGACGGCAGCTAGGGGAGACTCTAGGTTGAGTAGAAGTTAGCTGGGTAGAGGGTCTAACAGAGAGCATTTGGGGCAAAGGGAACAGCAGGTGCAAAGGCTCAGGGGAAGACAGGGAAGGGGTGCTTGCCAGGGAGAAGGCTCAGATGGCGCAAAGCTGGGAAAGAGAGGCTGGGGTCTGTCGGAAGTCTACCGCGTCCTGAAGGCTGCCTACCGTGTTCTGAGAAGGGTTGGGCACCCGCAGAAGAGCTGGGCTGTGATGAGTCCTGAATTTCAGGAAACTCCCTGACAGCAGTGTGGACAACAGATTGGAGGGGGTGAGAGACGCCGGTGGCCGGGACTGTGGGAGGGAATGCAGGGAGAGGTGGGTGGAGGCCCGTGGAGATGACCGGCCAGGGGACTGGAGGTTGAGGTTGCCTTCGGGGCTCCTGCTTGGGCCGTGAGTGCATGGTGGTGTTGAGTTCTGAGCTGAGGAAGTGGGACGGGGGCAGGGATCAGGTTTGCCTTGGCACATTGAGTCCCAGTGTCTGTTAGTCAGCCGGCACAGTCAGATACACCAGGCTGGAGCTCAGTAGGCAGATCGGAGCTGGAGGTGAAATTTCTTATGTAATCGTCATGTTTCTGGGCACTGTCTCTTCCTAAGGGCATGGAGCTCCCATTTGGTAATGGGAACCATCTGGAGACCATCGCAAGCGTCAGTCCTGCTCTGGCCACATACGTGGTATTCATTTTCTTGTCCTGTCCAGATGGCCATGCAGGCTGCCATCTCCCCGAGGGCCTGTCCCTCCAACACACTGTGCTCCTAGGTGGGGAGCCACCCTCTCTCTCACTGCCCAGGGCGGGGTCCTGGCCTGAGTCTGCTCCTGCCCAAAGCTGGACCTCTTTAGGGCAGAGACCGGCTGGGTCTTCTCCAGGTCCCCAGAGGGGCTTGCACGGGGCGGGGGGGGGGGGGTCTGAGCGGCGGCCCCTCTCCTGCGTGTGTGCAGCCCAAGCCTCAGAATGCGGTCACCGTCGCTGTGTCCTCCCGAGCCTTGTTCCGCATGGACGAGGAACAGCGGATCTACACGGAGCAGGGCGTGGAGCAGTACGTGCGCTACCAGCTGGAGCACGAGAACGAGCCCTTCGGCCCTGGACCCGCCTTCCCCTTCGTGAAGGTGAGGGTGCTTCCCCCTGGGAGGGGTTAGAGCAAAGAGCTCCCGTTGGGGGTCGGAGTAAGGAAAAGGGGGACTCTTTGGACGGGTGCACCCACTCACCTCATTTTTTTTTTTTTTTTAAGATTTACTTATTTATTTTGAAAGCCAGAGTTACAGAGGAGGGAGAGACATGGAGGGAATCCTCCATCTGCTGGTTCACTCCCCCAGATGGCCACAGCAACCAGCACTGGGCCAGGCTGAAGCCAGGAGCCAGGGGTTTCATCCGGGTCTCCCATGTGGGTGGCAGGGGCCTAAGCACTTGGGCCATCTTCCACTGCTTTTCTCAGGCATGTTAGCAGGGAGCTGGATCGGAAGTGGAGCAGCCAACACTCAAACCAGTGCCTGTGTGGGATACCAACATCTCAGGCGATGGCTTCAGCCACTACGCCACGACATCGGTCCCTCCCACTCAGCTCTTTAGTGAGGTGCCCTGAGCAGTAAACCACCTGCATGTGTGGCAGAGAACAGCATCAGGACGAGGGAGTCCATGGCCACCTATCCCCTCCCAAGCCTGACCCCTGACCCCCTCGCCTCCCTTCACTGGGTCCCTGGCCACCGACTCCAGGTGCCATCCTCAGGGCTCCGTGCAGCATCCATTTAGCAACCAGAAACTATTTCAGAGCCCACACAGCCTTGGGGACTAGATGACCGGGAGGGTACCTGCTGGGCCGTCTCGGGTCGGGTATCTGCACCTATCAGATCAGCTGCCACACCAAAGGCAGGGTCACACATCATGAGAGCCCTCCGTGCCTTACAGGCTCTGGAGGCTGTGAACAGACGGCTGCGCGAGCTGTACCCAGACAGCGAGGAGCTCTTTGACATCGTGCTCGTAACCAACAACCACGCTCAAGTGGGGGTCCGCCTCATCAACAGCATCAACCACTATGGTGAGCACGGGGGCTCCAACCACGGGACCCCACACACACACCCAGCCCCAGCCCCAGCCCCAGCCCCAGGGAAGGCTCCAGACCCTGCAGAGGGAAGTGGTAGCAAACTGGAATCCCAGTTGCGTGTTGGTAAGCTGGCTCCTCACACAAACCAGCCAAACCCTGAATTGCAGGATTATCGGTTTTCAGGGGGTCGATCTTCCTACTGGGCGGGTTTCAAGCTCCCTATCCAGCTCCCAAAATCCTGAAGGTCAAGTGTGGTCTCTTGCAAGCCGGCGCAAGCCAGCTCCAGTGCACACGGCACAGACCCTGCTCTCTGTGATTGGGGAGGGCACTTCTGCCTCCGTGCCTCGGTTTCCCTAACTAGGATGGGGCCGTCAGGCCTCCCAAGGCTCCTGGGAAAATCAGGTGTTATTATTAGAGCAAAAGGGCTTTGTATCTAAGACCAAGCTCAGAATTGAAGGTAATAGACCCTCCGAAGGCAGCTGAAGTGGAAGAAAATAATTTCTTATTGGGTTACAGAGGTGTCTCAGAACCCCAGGGCAGGAAGCCAGATTGGGCCTTCAAGGGCTTGGCTCCAAGCAGTGCTGGTCTCTCCAGGTTTATTCTCCTCTCAGGGCCACGTGAGCCCTTGTTTGTGCTTCTCTTGCAAGTTTGTTCCTTTTTTTCCCCCTCGTCTCTCTCCCCCCTAAACTGGATTGCTCTGCTTTTCTTGAATATAAAATCATATCCAGGAAAAGCAGAAAAATCCAGTTTGGAGAGGGAGAGACATAAATGTACGTTTATAGGTTTACATGGCCTTGTTTTAAGCAGCCAGGACAGTCTGGTTGGCATTTTTAAAATGCTAATTTCAAATCGCTGGGAACAGAGGCGATATTCAAAATATTTAACCACTTATGTGACATGGATGCTGGGCAGCCAGGATCGACAGTGCCTGTGTACTGGGCCCCGCAGAAGTCCGGCCATGCCTACCTGCCGTGGACGGTGGGGAACACAGGGGGCCTGGGTAATGGGGTGGGGTAGTGTTGGGTAACCCAGTGGACTCAGAGCAGCATCCATTTAGAAACCAGAAACTATTTCAGAGCCCACACAGCCCTGGGGACTAGATACCAGGAGGGTACCTGCTGGGCCGTCTCGGGTCGGGTATCTGCACCTATCAGATCGGCTGCCACACAAAAGGCAGGGTCACACATCACGAGGAGAGGATTCCCTGCAAGAGGATGCTGGGAGCCGGGTGATTGCTCCAGAGACGTGATCACGTGATCATTCCCATTTCGTGGACGAAGAATGGAGGGGCATGGAGGTGGGCCATGGGCCTGAGATCCCCCTGCAGCCTGCCACCTTTCAGAACCAAGGTGGCATCTCCTGGGCACAGAGGGACCACTTTGAGGCCCTGAGGGTTGACCCTGACCTCACCTGGGTTCTCTCGTCCTCCTCCCAGACCTGTTCATCGAGAGGTTCTGCATGACAGGTGGAAACAGCCCCATCTGCTACCTCAAGGCCTATCACACCAACCTCTACTTGTCAGCTGACGCGGAGAAAGTGCAGGAAGCCATTGATGAAGGTAAGTCAGTGGGGAGAGGGGAGAGCGTGGGGAGTCAGGCAAAGGGGAGCCAGAGATGAGAGGCCTGGGCCTACAGCTCGGAGCTGGTGCTGGGGTTGCCATGGTAACCAGAAGGGGAGCCCATCCTTCATTCCTACGACCTGATCCATACACCCATACCTTTTCTACTTCCTAACTCTGGCCCTGCTCTGTGAAGGAGGCTTTTACTCACCAGCATCCCCCAGCCTCTGTCTCCATGGAAACCCTCCTTACCTCCCAGAAAGCCACCCGGTTCTGAGAGGCTTCCATGTCAGTCGGAAGAAATTCTGATTTCTGCATGACCACGGGGAGGGTCATTGCCAACAGCTGGACTGGCCGGGGCTGTGGGGAGGTTAGGAGACCCAGCTGCAAGTGCCAAGGGGCAGTTCAGGCGAGATCCACAGCCGCAGCCCTCCCGACCACGCATGCATCCTTTTGCCCAGAGACAGAAGAGCCCACAGCGGAGCAAGCACTGCCCGGCTGCCAGGGGCAGGTCCCTCTATCAGGCAGCAACACAGTCACTTTATCCTCCTCTCCCGTGCTGCCTCCTGCCTGCAAGCCCGGCCTCTCGCCCTGCTGACTCACTTCTCAGAGCTGCTCAGAGTGCCACGGGGCTTGCTCTTATTTATTTTTAATTTAATTAACTTGTTTGAAAGGCAGAGATGGAGAGAGAGGGGGGAGAAAGAGAGAGAGAGAGATCATCCATCTGTTGGTTCACTCCCCAGATGCCTACAACAGCCAGGACTGGGCCAGGATGAAGCCAGGAGCCAGAAGCTCAGTCTGGTCTCTTACCTGGGTGGAGGGATCCAACAGCTTGCATGAGGAGCCTCCTCCTAGGGTGCGCATAAGCATGAAGTCGGAATTAGAAGTGGAGCTGGGGACTCGAAGCGAGGCACTCCAGTATGGGATGCAGGGGTCCCAGGCAGTGTCTTACCCTCTGCAGCAAAAGTCTGCCCTCAAAGAGGCTCTCTCTTTTTATTTATTTATTTATTTATTTATTTATTTTTGACAGGCAGAGTTAGACAGTGAGAGAGAGACAGAGAGAAAGGTCTCCCTTTTTCCGTTGGTTCACCCCCCAAATGGCCGCTATGGCTGGCGCGTTGCGGCTGGCACACTGTGCCGATCCAAAGCCAGGAGCCAGGTGCTTCCTCCTGGTCTCCCATGCGGGTGCAGGGCCCAAGCACTTGGGCCATCCTCCACTGCCTTCCGGGCCACAGCAGAGAGCTGAACTGGAAGAAGAAAGAGCAACTGGGACAGAACTGGAGCCCCAACCGGGACTAGAACCCGGGGTGCCGGCGCCACAGGCAGAGGATTAGCCTAGTGAGCCATGGCACCGGCCAAAGAGGCTCTCTTTAACCAGGAAGCAAAGGCCATTTCCCCAGACTGGTGTCGCACCTTTGGGTCAGCACCTTGGCACTGGCGCGTGGGCAACTTGATCTCGGGCTGGGGAGCAGGGAGGCGTTTGGGGGAGGCCCTTCTCAGGGTGGCAGTGTTTCTGGGTCACCCGGGCTCTGATGTGGCAGAGTAGACAGCGCCTGGTCTGATGCCCAGAGTCTGGGCCTGCCTGTAGCATCCTCAAGCTACTGAAGTGGCTGTGAGGCTGGCTCTGCTCCCTCCTCCACAGCTCTGCGGGATGCTCCAGTCCCAGAGGGCAGGCAGGGAGTGGCCTCGGGAGAGACTACAGAATGGGCTCCGCAGCCCCCAGCTCTGCAGCCTCCTAGCACTGGTGCTCTGCGGTCCAGCGCAGCTCTAGCCTGGAGCCTGGCGTCCAGCAGGTGTCCATGACCCCCTGGAGGGGCCCAGGGCTGCAGACATTGCTCAGTCAGCCGGAGCTGGTGCTACTGCCCAGGGCGCACTGTCTCATGAACCCTGGACAGCCAGGTGCCCCGAGGAAGTGTGCCTGGGTGCCACTGCGGTTGTAGACTGAGGGTGCCCACCCTCCACCCCACACGGCAGTTCGAGATGCCAGTCCCACACAGAGCTAAGAAGGCCTTCATTTTACCTCAGCCCAGAGAAGGTGAGAGCGTGGGCAGACTGACAGTGAGAGAGCAGCCCAGGCCCGGTTAGAGTCGGGGCTCCCCCCACCCCCACATAGGTCTGCATCACTGACATCGCCTTGCCCTGATTCCTGGGTGAGCCGCTGGGACCGGAGTTTCTGGGGCAACCCAGCCTGCTTGGACTTACGCCGGGCGATGCTGCCTCTCTCCTGCCAGGCATCGCGGCTGCCACCATCTTCAGCCCCAGCAGGGACGTGACCGTGTCCCAGAGTCAGCTGCGCGTGGCCTTCGACGGGGACGCCGTGCTCTTCTCGGACGAGTCGGAGCGCATCGTGAAGGCCCACGGGCTGGACAGGTTCTTCGAGCACGAGAAGGCTCACGAGAACAAGCCTCTGGCCCAGGTGCTGCACCCGCACGGCCCGAGCCCCGGCGGGCGACAGGGCGGCTCCCCAGGGCCTGAACCTCCTCCCCGGACTCCAGCCAGGTCCCTGACCAAACCTCCAGGCTTCATCCCTGTCACTTGACCCCTGAGGGTTCCCCAGTGAGCTGCCACCCTTCCCTGAGCCCCTCTCCCTCACCGAGCTCCCACCCCGCCACTGCAGCCTCTATGGTCTCTCTATGGCTCTCTCTATGGTTCTCTCTACGGCTCTCTCTATGGCTCTCTCTACGGCTCTCTCTAAGGCTCTCTCTTCTTTGCAGCTCCAATCCCTTTTCTATGGTTTCTGCCCCCTTGCTGAAGCCCCTGACCCCTTTCTGAAGTCTCCATCCCCTCTCTGAACCCCCACTCTCTCTCTCTCTCTCTAGACCCCCGTCTCTGAAGTCCCTCTCTGCCCCACCCTCTCTCACTGTAGCCAGCATCGTCTCTCTGGAACCCTGGCCCTCTCTGAGCAGGGTGAGCCAGCTGAGGAGGGAGGGCACCCCGGGCACACTATCTCCTCTGTGCCGCCTGTTGGTGGGGCTCAGTGTCCACCCAAGAGTGAACTGTGTCCTACAGCTTGGGGGGAACTCCCTGGACTTGGAGCTACTGGGATTTCCTAGCCCTCCTGGGAGCTCCTACTTAAACTTTTCTTTTTTTAAGATTTATGTTATTTATTTGAAAGGTAGGGCAATGGAGAGAGAGAGAGAGAGATCTTTCATCTGCTGGTTCGCTCCCACAAATGGCCACAATGGTAGGGGCTGGGCCAGGCCTAAGCCAGAAGCCTGGAACTCCATCCAGTTCTCCCACATGGGCGCAGGGGCCCAAGCATCTTCCACTGCTTTCCCAGGTACATTAGCAGGGAGCTGGATCAAAAGTGGAGCAGCAGGACTGGAACTGGCAATCCCATATGGGATGCCAGAATTGTAGGCGGTACCTTAACCTGCTGTACCACTGCACTGGCCCCTGTTTGAGCTTTTAACAAAAATGCAGGTGCTCAAAATTCCCAGAGCCCCTCTCTTTAGGAGCTCAGCAGGCTTCAGGTGTGGCTCCAGAATGCTCATTTTATTTCCATTCCTGAGGGTTCCCTCTGACGTCCTTGGGCATCCAGGGCAGCAGAGTGTTCCCACTGAATCACAGGCCCAGCCCAGGAGCCCGCTGCTTGCTCTCAGTCACCCACAGTGAGGGGTCCCCAAGACTAGAAGCCCGCCTTTCCTTAATTCTGGCTGCTTCATCATCGTCTGGGTCTTTGTTGCTGTGTCCTTACTGAGCCGCCTTGTCCTGGCTGCTGTCGAGAATGAATCCTTGCCCTGGAGAACTTGAGTGTGACTCCCTGTGCCGCAAGGGTGCCCGGCGGGATGGGCAAAGTTGGCATTCAGCAGCGACACTTTGGTCCGTCTGTCCCAGCTGTTTACAGCCGGGGTCCATTCTGATTGGAGGGTGCCTGTGCCCAGGTGACAAAATACTTCTAACGTCCTCCCTCCTGCTGGGCACAGAAGGCCATGCTCCTGAGCTGTAGGACCGACCCCTGTGACGCAGCTCCAATCATGATGGGACAGAGTCACAAACTGACACAGGGACCTGCAGCACCACCCACCCGCCAGAGATCCAGGCAGGACCTCCTGGGAGACTTTGGGATCCTGAGCCACTTTCTCACCCTAGCCAACACACCCTGACTTTAGGGAAGCGAGGGGCAGTGTCTGGGAGGAGGCTGAGCTCACTCCGCTCCTGTGCCTTCTTGTAGGGCCCACTAAAGGGCTTCCTGGAGGCGCTCGGCCGGCTGCAGAAGAAGTTCTATGCCAAGGGCCTGCGGCTAGAGTGCCCGATCCGCACCTACCTGGTGACGGCCCGCAGTGCGGCCAGTTCCGGGGCCCGGGCTCTCAAGACCCTGCGCAGCTGGGGCCTGGAGACGGACGAGGCCCTGTTCCTAGCTGGTGCGCCCAAGGGCCCCCTCCTGGAGAAGATCCGCCCACACATCTTCTTTGATGACCAGATGTTCCACGTGGCTGGGGCTCAGGAGATGGGCACCGTGGCCGCCCACGTGCCTTACGGCGTGGCGCAGGCACCCCGGCGAACTTCACCTCCAAAGCAGGCCCCACCTGCACAGTAGCTGAGCTCCCGCTTCAGGCTCCCCGTCGCACCCGGACACCTCGCCCTGTGGACCTTGCTAGTTCCTTCTGCATGTCTGCCTCGTCCCTGTGAGTGCGGTGCCTGTAGGAGATCGTGGGACTGGGCTAGCATTCTCACCATCCCCTGTTTAGGGAAAACTCGGGGCTGTGAGCCAGGCTGAGACAGCAGGACTGGGGCAGAGAAGCCGGGTTTCAGGGAGAAGATGATGGGACTGAGGGCCGGAGACGCCAGGATGCCTGGCTGGGATGAAGACCAGCTCAGTGGAGAGCAAGAACTCTCCAGTGAGATAGAGTGGATCTGGCTTCAAAGCTCTATCCTGGTCTTCATCACACGACTTTAAGTAAGTCTGTCCCCTTTGTGGGCCTCAGTATTCCCAGCTTTCGGGTGGTTTTCAAACTCTCGTTTAGCCAAAGAAGCTTGGTTTTAGAAGAGCGCCCTCTTTTTAAATTTTGCTAAAAATTTATTCATTTGGGAGGCGGGGGGGGGGGGGGGGGTCACGCCCATCTGCTGGTTCACTTCCCCGAAGCCCAAAAGAGCTAAAGCTGGGAGCCTGGAGCTCAGTCCAGGTCTCCCATGTGGGTGGCAGGAACCCAATCACTTGGGCCATCACTGCTGCCTCCTGGGGTACACATTAGCGGGAATCAGAGTCAGGAGTGGGGCCGGGTATCAAACCCGGACACTGTGCTGTGGGGCACAAGCACTTGCCCAGCCCACGTCTGCCCCCAGATTGCCTTCTCTGAAGGAAGCGCTCCGTGCCAGGGCTGCTGCTGCAATGGGTGACATCTTTGTGCCAATTGCAAAAGGGACGTTGTCTCTAGATGAACAAATAACACAAAGATGGCCCTTCCTCTGGCCTCACCTGGACCCTTGCCAGGTTACACAGCTCAATCGCAGAGTGGAAGCTGGATCTCAAGTCTCCCGCCTGCCCGTCCCTCCACCCAGAGGCCTTTGTCAAGTGGGCAAAGTGTGCAGTGCTCCACAGCAACCCCACCAATAATTTGATGTGTTTGGAAACCACTAGACAAGATGACCCCTCTGCTTCCTGCGATTCTGTAACCCAAGCCATCTCGGGTCTGTGTCCAGGTGGAAGGTTTGTGGAAAGTGACAGAAAGTGTAAATTTCACCAGCATGCAGATTCTCCTCAGGCCAGCAGGGGGCACTGCAGGCTCTTCCTAGGGAGGCGTGTTATTGGCGGCCATATCAAAGTTTCTTTTCCTTTTAACCAAAGTTCAGTTGTTCTTGCCCATCAACCCCCTGCCTCAGCCTTCACTCTCCCAGTTACTGCACCTGCTGTGCCGCAGGCAAAGAGGCACAGTATCTGGCTACTGCTGTACGCAGGGGGAGAAAGCACAGCGGCTGAAGCTGACGGTCACCCAGGCTGCACCCAAGGGCACGGTGCCACCTTCGTGAGGTGTGAGGCGGCCGGCGGGTGTCTGGTCTGAGACAACGGATACAAAGGCAGCGACCGCTCCGAGGGGAAGGAGGTGAAGTGTGCGCTAGCAAAATCCTCCAGCCTGTGAGTGGGAGGCCAGGTGGAGCTGCCCTGCAGGGAATGAGCTCCCCGTCACTGGGATGCTATGCGAGGGATTCCAGGATGGGGCGAGCTGCATCAGTGGATCCTCCACCCCTGTGGGAGCCCCCGCAGTGCCTCTTCACCGTCCCCTCTACCTCTACCTGGCTGTCTCTGGAGAGTGTGCAGCGGCGGTGCCGGCCCCCAGGAGGACCAAGGAGGAGCTCCTGCGAGGAGTCCGAGCTGTGAGCGAGCACCTGGGGAAGGAAGCCAAAGGCAGCGTCACAGCGGGCGGGGGCCTGGCGGCACAAGGCCTGACTCTGCCCTTGGGTGGACTCAGCCTGGAGTCTGAATGGGCACAGATTCTGGGCACTGGGGGGGGCAGAAAGTTAACCCAGGAAGGAGGAAAAAGAACATGGAGATGCTTCTTAAAACTGGCGATGGTTTGGGCTGGAAGAGAAGTGCTGGGCTGGCCTTTTGCCATCAGTGCTGGCAGCTCCAGCGGCCGGTCTCAGGGAGGAAGGCTTTGCCCCCACTGCGGCTGTCTTATCAGGGGACACTGGCGCCAGTGCACTCAGAAGGGCGCGTCGGAGATGGCTTTGCACAAGGTCGTTTTCCTCGCATAGCCGGGACCACTGTGGCCAACACAGCAGGCCTCAGGACGCAGGCCTGGTCTGGAGTTCCCTCCACTGCCGGAGCTCTAAGCCTAGCCCAAGAACAGCCCCAACAACATGAAAAGCAGGTGAGAGGGGAGCTTGGCCTCGGAGTCACCTTCAGTGGGGGCCAGACCACGTGACAGCCATCTGCTGCCAGGATCAGAATTGCCCCTTGGAGGAGTCTCCAGGACTCATGGAGCTGGTAGTTCTATGAAGCTTGCAAGGCTGGGTACAACCCAGGCTTCCGAATGGCATTAAGCTGCCTGGCCCAGGGGTGGGGTGACCCATGCACTGGGACAACAGCACCAGATGTCACCCAATTGAGATAAACTCCAGGGATTCTGAGACCTATGAGGTCCTGCCCCGGGGGCCGAACGATGAACAGCTGCTCTCAGGAAGCAGAATGGCACTGGAAACACTAAGATAAGGTGCAGTAAAAGCCGTGGATCTTCCTGGAGCCACCACTAACAGACAGGGACAGACAGCCCCGGGCGGTCCAAATTCTATTACAGAAACCACAGGGAGCATCTCTGGCCTGGGAGTAAGCGGCCCGAGGTGCTGGGGGCTGGCATAGGCCACAGCCAGACAGCCCTGATGGTCTCGTGCGGGGAGCAGTGTTTATTGCATCATCTGGAAATTACAAAGCCAGAGGAGCGCCACAGCCCCAGGCCTGACTGGGGACCGCATGGCTCAGGCAGAGAGGCCTCCACTTCTGAAAATCTGCACCCCTTCCCTGGAAAGCACCATTTCCCAAAGAAGTGCTGCAGAACACGGTTCCCAGCACAGGCTGGTCCGCAGTGCTGATCCCGTGGGGAGCAGACACCCTGCTGCTGCACACTGAGGTTGCCAAGATCACTGCACAACAGCCCTCTCCCTGGCCTGAGAGCCCCATCAGATTAGCAGAAATGTAGCAGAATATACCAGGAAAAACAAAACAAACAAACAAACAAAACCAGAAACCCGCAAGCAGTTCAAATCCAAGGTCGATTTGGCATTATAGTAATACCCAGTTCGTGTGCACTAGCACAAACTCGTGAGTAAAATACTGAAATGCCTCCACACCAGGAGGGTCCCTCGGAGGCCGTGGTGGCCGTGGCCCTTCCACTGTGAACTTTCCCATTTTCTCATAACCCAGCCTGCAGGCGGCTGCACCAGCCCTGTGGCCAGAGAACCCTCTGTTTTATGGTGTCCCAGCCATGCTGGCTTAGGAGGTAAAATAACTTGCTCAAGGCCCCACAGCGCTGGAACTGAAACTCGTATCTGTCTGATGCTGGGGCCAGGCTCTCAACCATTTTGCCGTCCTGTTTCTAGGAGAGAACTTTGGAAACTTCATGGAACAACGAAGAAAATACTATGCATGGATTGCAAACCAATTTTGCACCAAAATAAGCTTATCTTTGAAGTCCATTTCCGGTGAACTTTCTGAAATACCCTTGTCTATTCCCATACGGACGCCCATATCAAGAGAAACTTCATTCTGAGGCCTTTGCTGAAGACGTGTTCCCGACAGTCCTGTTGGCTTCCTGCCTGCTGGAATGCATTGGAGCGGGTACATGTTTGCTATGGCTTCCTGCATAGCAAGAAACCGATTTAAATGAGAGCCAAACATTTATAAATCCCCCTGAAGCACTTCCCAACAACACCCAAGTTCTTTGGATCCCAGTTTGAAGACTCCTGTCTTGGATTAATGCTGTTTTGGCAAATCAGAGGGGCCTGGGCCTCATCTGACCCGATACCTACTTTTGTGAAGAAATCTTTATTGGCACACAGTGGGTCCATCTGTTTCCATCTGTTTGTGGCTGCTTCCCCAACACCACAGCAGGGTTGAGTTGTCACAACAGGGTCTGCCGAGCCGAAAATAGTTCTTGGATGGTCCCCTACAGAAAATGGTTGCTGACCCCTGGGTGTTGCTAAGGCGAACGGGTGTTCGCCCAGTCCTGTCCTGGGGGGGATGAAGCAGGTCCCATGCCCCTAAGCATCTGAGGGCAGAGAGCTCAGATACACGGGCTCCATGCCCATTGATCACTGATTGACAGTTGAGGAGAAGCCACCAGGTTTCGACCCCTTTCAAGAGGCCCATGGCCCGTTGTAATCTGCAATTTGTTCATGCATGAATTTCACTTGGGTGTTCCCTCCCTGGGGGAGGCTGTGGGGTTCCTTGGCCAGCTGGCTGTCCAGCCTCTGCCCAGCCTGGCTCGGTGCTTCTGACTTATTGCTGGCCTCCTGGGTGGCTTCGGGCAGTTGTGAGTGCTGGTAGGTGGAAAGGCTTAATCCAAACATACAAGGTTTGGATTAAAAGTGTTCCGCGTTGCGTTCAGCAGCTCAGATCTAAAAACTCGTCCACAGGCTCTGTGAAAGCAAGAAGTTCTTCAGCAGAGGGTCCCAGCAAGGGCTTAGCCGACCCGAAGCTACAGATCAAACCCCGAGAAAGTAGGAATGCACTTTTCTTATGGTACTGGGGTGTGAACAGCGAACACAGCTGCCCTCACGATGGAATTGTGCATCCGAAGGTTCCAGAACCCCTGCAGAGTGGCAGGCGTGGTCCCACCCACAGTCACAGCTGCCGCTCCAGCGTAATTCCCCTCTACACCCAGACCTGGCCTCAGAATCCTTCTCAACTCGGCATCCTGAGAAGGCACCACCAGTGGGTGGGAGTTGGTGTGAAAGCTGAAACCTGTTTTGCTATCCTTACTGGTTTGGGGCATTGCTTCTCAGGAGGCATGCAAAGTCCTGAATGCTCATTCTCCAAGACTATGATGCCAGGATCTCACCTGCCTCGGGGCCCAACACATGGGAGAAAAGGAACAGCATTCGGTGGCTGACAGATCCCCAACACCTTGGATCGTCCGCTCGGCTAGAAGCAGAGTACAAAACTCCTCTCACCAGCAGGCGGCACTGCAGGCCAGCCTCAGGCTGCAGACCCCTTGGTCACGGTATTCACGGGTTTATTTCTCTCCTTCCTTGCTGCTTGGGGCTGTGCTGGACTCTCCCTCTGCCAAGCAGCTCTCTCCAGCCATAAAGGACCTCAGGTGCTCTGCAATGTTTGCTGACACGCCTGTGTGAGGAGCTGATGGCTCTCACCGGTAACCACTGTGATTGTGTGTATGGATGTACGTACAAGTGTACAACAGGACAAAAGCCTGTACAAGGTGTGGTTATGTGGGTATGCACATACCCGTATGTGGTCATGGGGTCATGTGGGTATGCACAATGGCTCAGACACTGCTGATGAGTGTGTGTGTTTGTGTGTGTTTATTCTTCACTAAAAGTGTGTCCCAATGGAAATCTCTAAGAATTGAGACCCTTGGGCCACCCTGCTTCCTGGGACTAGTTCTGGCTCTGCCCATTGTCTCACGGGCATTTGCACAGGAACAGCTTGGGGGCTACTGAGTCCCAGCCTTCTTCTCCGGCTTCCAGTCTCAGGCCTACAGGGTCTTGGCTCTCCACTTTCTGTCTCCTGTTCCTACCCCCTGCAGCCTTGGAGGGAAGTGCTAGAATCTGTACTAAGACAACCTTATACTGTATCTGCCTCATCATGCCCACTTGTTTCTTCCTTCTCCCTAACAGTGCCAGGGCCAATATGTCCAGTTGGGCAGATTATGCACTGCAAAAATCTGAAGGGAGTCCCTTCATACTATGACTGCCAGCTGCACACAGGTGGCCCAGCTAGCTCACGGCTGTGGTAGGAGAGTTGCCTCCCACCCTGCCCCCTGGCCCATCCCAACATAGGCTGGAATTCCTTCTTCTGCTAGTCTGGCCCAGAAGTGACTTATCTTTGGCTTTGGTTGGGAAGTAGCTCCCTGATGGGCCATGCCCCAGAGGCCTTTGTGGTTTGATTTATGAAAGTGAAATATGGCTGGGAACTTGCCAGTTGCTCATCTTTGCACAGTAAGGTAAACCAAAGCTCTGTAGACGGGGCTTGCTGACTCCATGCTCCTGGCCTGTGGGTGGGGCACCTGCACAGGCTGACAGCCACAGAATTAGGATAAAGGCCCCTAGGCCAGACCTGTAGCTGCCGCTGGGATGAAACCCTCTGAGGTCACCAAAGACCAGAGGCCTGGGCCAGGGGTCACAAACCCCTATGCTGAGGGGCCAGGCAGGAAGCAGGCCTGGGTGAAGCTGAGGCAGGATGAGGCTGGCAGACACTTGTCTCGGGGTCTGCTGTGGCTTCTGTGGCCAGCAATGCCACCCCAGTTTTCAAGAGGAGCTACAAATCCAGATTTTCAGGTGTTGGCAATGAGTTGAAAGTTGAGAAACAGCGTGCAGGCCAAATGCCACGCATCTCGGGCTTGAACCAGCCCTGCAAGCTCTAGTTTGCCCAGCTGACCCAGGCCCAGGGAGTTGGGTCTCTGAGACTCACATTACCAGGAGTGCGAGGGTACCAACATCAGATGCACAGTTTGCGATCTTCAGGAGACCCTGGGGGTGACCTGGTTCTGCCCTTGGTGTTCAAACTGTGTGCACACAAATTTCTTTAACCTCCCAAGTGCCTCCCGAAATGGTGGCAGTGCGTGCTTCCCCAGCGGTGCGGCTGCCCTGGCCTGGGATGACCCTACCCTTGCCTCCCCCAGTGTCACCCTCCATGGCTGCCGCTAGCACGCCGGTGGCACCTGCACTGCCTGGCTCCTTGCAGCCTTTTCCCAGGTATGTGCTACAGGCACCATGTGCTTGTCAGCATGGAGCCCGCCGTCTCCTTCTTATGCGTGTCCTGTCCCCTCCTGTTGCAACAGGGGCTTCTGCCTCTTAAAAGCCATAAAAATAAATCAAAGGTTTTCAATGCAGTTGAATCGTCTTTGGGGTTTTTTTGTTTGTTTGTTTTTTCTCCACAATTGGATTCACAAACTAACTTGTGGCTGCCTCTAGAGGAGCCGGCACTGTGGCATACCAGGTTAAGCTGCCACTTGTGATGCTGGCATCCCATATGGGCGCCAGTTCGAGTCCTGGCTGCTCCACTTCTGATCCAGCTCTCTGCTCTGGCCTGGAAAAGCAGTAGAAGATGGCCCAAGTCCTTGGACCCCTGCACCCGCATGGGAGACCTGGAAGAAGCTCCTGGCTGCTGGCTTCAGATCGGCCCAGCTCTGGCCGTTGCTGCCATTTGGGGAGTGAGCCAGTGGATGGAGGACTTCTTTCTCTCTCTGCCTCTGCCTCTCTGTAACTCTGCCTTTCAAATAAATAAATAAATCTTAAAAAAAAAAAAAAAAGAAAGAAAGAAAGAAAGAAAAAAGAAATGCTTCTAGGACACAGGCAGTACCATGCATTGGTGCTGGGGTTTTCCTGTAGACACCTCCACCCCCTGCACGAAGAGCCCCTGGGGGATAGTCTGTGAGGGAGCCTGAGCCCAGCACAAGGCTTCCCTCCGGGCATGGCCCCGGTGTGTGGGGATAGAGTAAGAAAGAAGAGGAAAGGAGAAAGGGTGTGCGATGGGCAGGAAGAGTCACTCTACCTCCAGCCCCGGCCCGCACGTGGTCCTCCTCCCCGCTCCTCCTTGAGCTCTGCAGGGCGGGCATTCAGGAATGGTTTAGCTGGTGGCTCTCGCTCAGACTTCTCAGGAGGGGAGTCAAGCTGACCATCCTCACGCGGCGTGCCTGGGGCTGGAGGAGCTGCTTCCCGCGGGGCACACTCACGTGGCCGTTGGCAGCTGCCTCAGTGCCTTGTCACGGGATTGCTCGAATGTTCTCCTGGCCTGGCCTGGCTCCTCCCCCAGAGTGGGTACTCTCAGACACAGCAGGAAAAAGTCACGCCGACTTTTATGGCTAGCCTCATAGGTGCCATACCTTCACTTCTGCTGCGTTCTGCTGGTATTCCAGACCAACGCTGACACAGTGAGGGAGATGACTACACCGGGGTGTAAATGCCAGGGAGTGGAGAGCCTCAGGGTCATCTTGGAGCCTGGCTACCCTACATTACTATACTTCCATCAGCCTGGTGCAGCCAGGACCTCCAAGGCTATCCTAACCGTTCTCCAGCCTCCTGGCAAGACCAGACGCAAAGGTGCTTCCTTGACTTTCCAACCTGAAGTCTCCCCACCGTCCCCCCTGCCCCTACCCAGGCACTACTGATGGAGAGAGACACAACTGTTCATCCACTTCCTTCCACCCCTTCCAGCACACTCCTTCGTGGGCCCTAGAGTCATCTACTTGGGGACACGATGCAAACTGTTTTCCCTGAAATCTCGGTCTCACTGTCAAGTTTTTATAACATTCATACGGCCATGGTACCAGAGCTGCTTATGCTGGTTTGTAGCCAATGGACCATGTCCAAGGTGACAGAAAGGGCAGGGGTGGAAGAGGAGTTGGCAGCCCTTCCTCCTCAGGCCCTGGACAAACAAACCCAACCCTCTGGCCACAACGGAATCCTCTGCTCTCTCACATCATCTCAGATTGCATTTGGGGCAAACACCATGACACAGCAGAGATGTGACTGTGACTTGGAGCTGGAAGACAAGGGACCGTGGGTTGGCCAAATTGTGAGTGTAGTTTTTTCCTCCTTCCTCTTCCTGCCTTCCCTTTGAGAACTGCATGTTCTTTTTTTTTCCCCCACCCTTCTGCTTACTATAGGTCAGTTTTAGTTGCCAAGAGGTCATTTACAAATATCTTTATTGGGTTGGCATTTAGGCACAGTGGGGTAAGCCACTGCCTGCGACGCCGGCGTCTCATACGAGTGAGTCCCAGCTGCTTCACTTCCAATCCAACTCCCCGCTAATGTGCCTAGGAAAGCAGCAGATAGCCCAAGGAGTTCCAGGCTTCTGGCTTCAGCCTGGCCCAGCCCGAGCCATTGTAGCCATATGGCGGGGTGAACCACCAGACGGAAGATCATTTTCTCTTTCTCTTTCTGTCTGTTCCTTCCCCTCTCTCAGTAACTCTGCCTTTCAAATAAATAATCTTTTAAAAATATATTTTTATTGTACAGCAGGGTGACTATAATTAACAATGATATATTCTTTTTTAAAAAACATTTATTTATTGAAAGTCAGAGTTACACAGAGGGAGAAGGAGAGGCAGAGAGAGAGAGAGAGAGAGGTCTTCCATCCGCTGGTTCACTCCCCAATTCACCAAAGCTGCTGGAGCTGGGCTGATTTGAAGCCAGGAGCTTCTTCCGGATCTCCCACATGGGTGCAGGGGCCCAAGGACTTGGGCCATCTTCTGCTGCCTTCCCAGGCCATAGCAGAGAGCTGGATCAGGAGTGGAGCAGCCAGGACTCAAACCGGCCCCCACATGGGATGCTGGCACTGCAAGCAGCAGCTTTGCACTATGCCACAGCGCCGGCCCCACAATGATATATTCTTAAAAAATTCAGAGTGGATGTTAAGTGTTCTCACCCCAAAAATGATAACTATGTGAGGTAGTGCATTTGTTCGTTAGCTAGATTTAACTATTCCACAACATACCTATATGTATATATATATATTTTTTAATTTATTTGACAGAGTTAGACAGTGAGAGAGACAGAGAGAAAGGTCTTCCTTCTGTTGGTTCACCCACCAAATGGCCGCTACGGCCGGAGCTACGCCAATCCAAAGCCAGGAGCCAGGTGCTTCCTCCTGGTCTCCCATGCGGGTACAGGGGCCCAAGTACTTGGACCATCCTCCACTGCCTTCCCAGGCCACAGCAGAGAGCTGGACTGGAAAAGGAGTAACCAGGACTAGAACCTGGTGCCCATGGGGGATGCCGGCGCCACAGGAGGAGGATTAACCAAGTGAGCCATGGCACCAGCCAACATACCTATATTCTTTAAAGATTTTATTTATTTATTTGTGAGGCAGAGTTTCAGATAGAGAGAAAGGTCTTCCATCCCTGGTTCACTTCCCAAATGGCTTCAACGGCCAGAGCTTGGATGATCCAAAGCCAGGAGCCAGGAGGTTCTTCCAGGTCTCCCACGTGGGTGCAGGGGCCCAAGGACTTGGGCCATCTTCCACTACTGGTGCTGCAGATAAGAGCTTAACCTGCTATGCCACAGTGCCGGCCCCGCCCTGCCACTTACTAGTTGTGGACCATGAGTGAGCAACCTTATGTCTCTGAGCCTCAGTTTCCTTATTTGTAAAATGGTGATAACAGCACTGAGGTCATAGGGTCTATTGTGAGGATTAAATGAACTGATTTGCAGAAAGGGTTTATTCCATTCACTGTTAAGATGTGAATTTGGGGGCCGGTTCTAGTCCTGGCTGCTCTTCTTCCAATCTAGCTCTCTGCTGTGGCCTGGGAAAGCAGTAGAAGATGGCCCAAGTGCTTGGGCCTCTGCATCCGCATGGGAGACCTGGAAGAAGCTCCTGGCTCCTGGCTTCAGATCGGCATAGCTCCGGCCATTCCAGCCATTTGGGAAGTGAACCAGCAGATGGAAGACCTTTCTCTCTGTCTCTCCCTCTTACTGTCATGTAACTCTACCTCTCAAAAAATAAATAAAATCTAAAAAAAAAGTGAAATTGTTATTTAACTTCTTGAGTTACCTCATTTATAAAAATAATGCTTCCTAAAACTGACATATAATTTTGTATGTATTTATCATGTATGATGTTTTGAAGATATTTATCTTGTATGACATCATGTATGACATTTTGAAATGTATGTAGGCTTGGGCCTGCTCTGTGGTGTAGTAGGCTAAGCCTCTGCCTGTGGTGCCTGCATCCCATATGGGCGCTGGTTCATCATGTCCTGGCTGCTCCTCTTCCGATCCAGCTCTCTGCTGTGGCCTGGGAAAGCAGGAGAAGATGGCTGACGTTCCTGGATGAAGCTCCAGGCTCCTGGCTTTGGCCTGGCCCAGACCTGTCCACAAGAGTGAACTAGAGGATGGAAGATCTCTCTCAGCCTCTGCCTTTCCTCTTCTGTAACTCCACCTTTCAAATAAATAAATAAATCTTAAAAAAAAAAAAAAAAGAGAGAGAGAGAGAGAGACAGACAGACAGACAGGTTTTTTGAAAAACTGGGAATAAGACTTGCCATATGATCCAGCAACCCCACTACTGGGGAGACACCCAAAAGACTTGAACACAATCAATCAAAGATACCTGCACCGCTATGTTTATAGCAGCACTGTTTACAATAGCCAAAATTTGGAATCAACCATCATATTATTCAGCTTTAAAAACGAATGAAATTCCACCATTTGCAGCAATAAGGATACAACTGGAGGACATGATGTTGAGTGAAATAAGCCAGACCCAGAAAGACAAATACTGCATGTCCTCCTTTATATGTGGGAGCTAAAATTTGAAAAACAAACAAAAAAAGAAGAAAGTCTGTATATATCAGTATTGCTGCAAATATAGTTTTGTGAACCTTTGTTTTATACTTTGGCTAAACCAATGATTAAGAATGTTATAGCACTAGAGTTTTAATGATCTGTAACTACTTTAAAATGTACTGTATATAGCTGAAATGGTCACTTTTCCATTTAATTACTATTTATTAGATGTTTTCTATATTCCCATTAAACTAGGGTCTTTTACTTTTTTCTTTTAAACTTCTTATCAGTGAAGAATTAAGCCTTTCTACTTTAATATAAATTTAAAACATGTTGTTTCAAAATCTAAAAAAAAGACAGAAATGAAGGAGGAGGAGGGTAGGAGGGAGAGATGGGGAGAAAGGAAAGCAGTGGGAGGGAACATCACTATGCTCTTAGAATTACAAATCCCATTGAATCTATCAAAAACTACTTAAAACTTTTAGAAAATTTAAAAATAGAAAAATAAATGTTTATTTAAAAAAAAAGAATTGGCAGAGCTAGATTTAAATTTAAGTTGCCTGGCTCCAGAAAATGTCTCTTAAGTGCTATACTGTGTATATAT